GGGGGGGGGGGGGGGGGGGGGGGGAGTCCTGCGCACGGCTGCCGACCGCGCCAGCGCGAGCCGCCTTCCCCCCGCGACGGTCGCCCCGGCGCTGTGGGAACGACAGCGCCGATGCCAGGGACGGCGCTCCGACCGCTAACTGGCAGCAACACGTGGAACATTCGCGAAAACGAGAATGCCGAATGTCTATGACGTCTTATCATTCAGGTATTTGTGTTTCGGACAATTTGAATATTTCGTCATGTCGGTATTTTTTGTGTCTTGATTTAAAAGTTCTCGGTGTCGCGCGACGTCACCACCACCCTCTTCCTCGCCAACTCACTCCGATCTCGCGTGACCTCACCACCACCCCAGGTCTCTACGCCGGTCCGTTACAGACGGAGTCGATACCAACACAACCGCCATTTGCCGCTTAAGTGGGGGTAACATCACCACCACGGCGCCCGTGCCAGGCCAGGTGCACTTTGAGGCCGCGTGAAGTGTCGAAAGGCTCGCTAACAGGAGGTCACGGGACAGACCCAGCAGGCGCCATGAGTTGACCGACTGAGATGACTGGCAGATGCGCACCACCTACTGTGTCAACTCGCCACATTTTAGCCTCCCGGGCGCTCCGCTCTTTGTTGTGAGCGTCGCTCCTCCGCCCTCCGTTGTTGTTGGAGGGGGCGACTGCCTCCCACTGCCCAGCAGCAGCAGCAGCAGCGTCCTTCACGAGGCGCCTCCGCGCGCACGAACAACAAGCGTATTATTACAGACGAGTCGAGGGGGGAAGGTGGGGGGGGAGGGCGGTGGAAGGGGGGGAGCATGACCGACGAGCGGGGTTCTATTCCAAAGGTGCAAAGCCGAAGCACTGCTCGAGAGCGAGGCTGAGCTTGTTGCGAAGGTCCGTCTTGTCGCCGTAGGCCGGCAGGTAGAACGTGCGGAAACACGTGTGGGCCTGCGGCAGGCCCTCCGGGTCTTCGGCCATGGAGAAGGTGATTCGCAGCGTATTCATCCCCGACAGCGGCACGCGGTCCGTGCCGGTCACGAAAACTGCGGCAACGGGGACAGACGGGGGTGAACGCGGCCGTGACCTTGCGCCGGTCGGGTATCGAGGGCAAAGGTGCAGCCGCTGCAACCGCTTGCTCTCGGCGCACCGTATAAACGAAAGCGACGGCGACGATAGAACTGCGGCGCTTGATAAAAGCCGCCCTCTCAATGGCACCCACCCCCCCTCCCCAGTAACGGCTGTCCCTGTGCGAGGCACAAACTCAGCTCTAAACCTCCCAACTATTTTTTATTGTCACCAGGTAAGGCCTCACTGAGCTGTGTAGCAATTTTTCGGAAGCGACCCGGCCATCACAACGTGATCTTTTTTTTTTCTCCCACAATGCTGTGTTCTTCATTAATGCAACTATCACCGCATTATAGGAAAACAGACTGCAGTAATTTAGTGTTTCGATTTAAAGCTTTCGTGACTGCAGGGATTCACCTTCTTGGTTCTTTCGGTAAAGTCACGTAGACTTGAAATAAGATAATAAAAATAAAACGTAATATTACGTTTTATTTTAAAAATAAAACGGAATATTACGTTACGTAATATTACGTTTTATTTTTATTATCCTATTTCAGGTCTGCGTGACTTTACCGAAAGAACCAAGAAGATAATTGAGCGTTACGAATAAGAAGACACAAACCACGTGAGCCTGATGCGACTTCCACCGGACTGCGATCCGTGGGGGCAGCGTCGACTCCTGAATCACGACTCGTCGCGCACGACAGAGAGAGGCCCGACTGGGATCACGCACAGAGCGCGCGCTGCAGCGGCAGCATTGGCCACGGCTGCGGCAAAACTCGAGACTCGGCGAGACTTTCCCCGGGCAAGCGACGAGCGGAATAAATAACAAATTAAATACAATCCGTTGGGGACAGCTGGCGGGTTTGGGCCCTGCGCCACTCACTCAGGAATCGCTTCTTCTGCTCGTCGGTCAGCTCACGGAAGACCTCCCAGAACATCTTGACGGTGTTGTGCCGGGCGCTGAATCCCTTGACGTAGAGAACGCCCTGCAGGAAACACGCGCGGCACCACCCGCCGGTGTCTACCCGATGCAAATTGCGGCGGCGACGGCACCCGGGGGGTCGTCGAGTGGCCCCGACGATCGCTCTGTCCTCGACGTTTCGCGGCGGGGCCCGAACGACGGCACGGCGACGAGGGCGCAAGGGGGCGCCGGCAAGGGGAGAGCCGCGCGGCGAGAACCTCCCCGCGCCAGCGACTGCCGAGAAAGCCGAGGCGGCACCGCGACAGGATACCGGCAAACGCGACCGCCGAGAGGGAGGGACAGGCAGGAGTGGGTCGCATGTTACTCAACGTGAAGACCCGGGGGATGGGGGAGGGGTGGGTGTGTGGCACACGGTGATGGAAAACGACGCGGGAAGAATACCAAACGCGACGGCAGAAGTCAGAGTTAAGGCCATCGTTGCTGCCCAGGGGACCGCTTGCGATGCGAGGGACCTTGCCGACAGCCGCCGCCTCCGGTGAGCAGGCCAGCTCCGGGCGCGTGCGCGTGCTGCGCAAGGGGGGCGCTGCGCTGACCTGCTCGAGAGCGGGCCAGTCGTGGCTCGCCTTGCCGAACGCGACGTCCCTCAGCTCGCGTGGGCTCAGCAGACGGAAGCGGAGCACCTCGCAGACGGACTTGAACCCTGACTCGAACCTCTCAAACTTCCGCTGCACCGCGTCGCTGCAGAACCTGTGATGCACGAACCTCTCCACGTACTCGCGCCTGTCACGCGGCACAGGGAGGGCGACGGCGACCGTGAGGCTTTTTATATATATATAGGGCTTGTTTTGTAGCCGCCACTCCTATACAGAGACTCCTCTACTTACCAACACCCGACTTACGAATTTTCAGAGATACGAACAAACCTGTCGGTATGTTCACAGTTGCCCGTTCGGACCGAGATGGCGGTGGTTGTTGGGTGTCATTACCCAGCATTCCCAGCATTACTGCCTGGGCCACCGCCATCGTCCGCTGTTGTTGTGTCATCGCTGTGCGGTTCACTACGACGCTCTCTGTGCTTTTCACGAACATCATCAACCCCCATTGTGTCTCAGAAGCGTGGCATCTACATCTGCAGAACATGAAGAACCAGCGCAGAGGGTGAAGAACCAGCACAGAGGATGAAGAACCAGCGCAGAGGATGAAGAACCAGTGGCATCTACATCTACAGAACGTGAAGAACCAGTGGCATCTACATCTGCAGAACGTGAAGAACCAGTGGTTTATATATCTGCAGAACGTGAAGAACCAGCGCAGAGCATGAAGAACCAGTGGCATCTACATCTACAGAACGTGAAGAACCAGTGGCATCAACATCTACAGAACGTGAAGAACCAGTGGCATCTACATCTACAGGAGATGATACAACTTTGAAACGCATTCCCCGTGTTTCAGTGTACACACGCCGTACGACGTGTTTGGAATTGACGGGAGTAAAGTTGGGACTTAGGAACAAATCGACAGAACCTTTGGAACCTGCCTCGTTCGTAAGTAGAGGGGTCCCTGTACACTGGGGGCATCTCGGAGCGCTTTACATCGTCGCATCTCATCTCAACGGACGCTCTGAAAGGGGAAACCCCAAGCGGCGGCCGTCCCCGCGCGGCACAAGGCACTCATATCTCACACACAAACACGCAAAGCGCTCGCCACAAATGAACCACAATCGACAACCTTGCCGTTCTCGTCGAGAAGCATAAACCGTCGCTCGAAATCCCGTCCACCTCGCAGGGGCGACTTTTGGCTGGCCGTCGAGCAAAGACGGTGGTCACCGCGTCGGTGTCGCCGGGTTCACAGTGCAGCGCTCCCCACGACACCACCGCTCCCCATTTTGCCGGGCAAGCAGGTGTCTCTGGCTGCGCGTGCACCGAGCGCACCGCTGGCGATCCGCACTCACTTGTTCCGCTGCGTCACCATCGTGGAGCGTCCTCCCGGAATCAGCTCTCTCGTCAGCACCTTTCCGTTGGCTTCATACTGGTACTGTCAAACAAAAAAAACAACCAACGGTAACGACAGCGACCATTACCCACGCCGGTGCAACATTTTGCACGTTCCCACAATGGCCGCGGGGTGACGAGTTTGTGCTCCGTATATTCGCGCGCAAGGACGCGCGTACTCCTCTTTGGTTCTTTCGGTGAAGTCATCACGTGGGTATAAAATGAAATTAATTAAATCACGACGTTTCGGGCGCAACACACAAGCGTCCGTCATCAGGTGGGACGCCCACAGCAAGAGACAATTGCTGAAGTGGGCAAAACGGCTGCTGTAACAGGAGGCTATTTAGGTAACAGAGGGGGGAGGAGCAAGGGGGGAGAGGGGGGGGGGTAGGGGGAGGGGAGTGCTGAAGTGAGCGGGGCTGGGAGTGGGAAGCTGACGAGGACTGGAGATGCGGAAAATGAAGGCAACACCATAAAGCAGTTAGCGTTTTACCTGGTTAATAACATCCTTCCAATGATTGCTCAATTTGTATCCATCTTCTCGGTTGAAGCTACGTCTATGTTTATATATCTGGATGGCTTCATGAGCAAACATTTGATAGTAGCCTGAAGGTTTGTAGAGCACCTTGGTCTCGGAAAAAAACAATATCATGAGAGCCCACAGCGTTATAGCAATGGTCAGCCACGGCGGAGGTATTAGTCCTGCCGTGGGCAAAACACGAGTCTCGATCGCAACGACGGACAGCGAACGGCGGTAACGATCGCTCCACTTACGGTGAAAGTGCGACACAAGGTGTCTTCCAAGTGTTCGTTGGTGTCCTTTAGAATCTCCGTCATGCTCCTGCAAAGCGAAAGCGACGATCACCACAGTGCACAGCAAGCTGCCGGTCACGCGCCACTTAAAAAGGGTGTTTAGAACATCAGCACAACTAGGGATGCCGCGGTGGCTAGGAGATGTTGACTACCTCGCCTGGTATGCAGGAGGTCGTGGGTTCGATCCCGACCCTGACGCCTGCTGCTGCTGTATATTTGGAGTTTGCGTGTCTCTCATCATCATCACGGTGGCTAGAGATGTTAACTACCTCGCTTGGTATACAGGAGGTCGTGGGTTCGATCCCGACCCTGACGCCTGCTGCTGTATATTTGCAGTTTGCGTGTCTCTCTCTCTCATCATCATCACGGTGGCTAGGAGATGTTAACTACCTCGCCTGGTATACAGGAGGTCGTGGGTTCGATCCCGACCCTGACGCCTGCTGCTGTATATTTGGAGTTTGCTGTCTCTCTCTCTCCCTGTGGTCACGTTGATATTTCTACTGGGTCCTCTGGTTTTTCCCCTCCACATTTAGAATCAACACACGTTTCGAGTATTTGGCTGCTATACATTTCCAAGTGATGAGCCAACTTCGTTGGGCTATCAACTGTGGCCAGGTCGCTTCTGAAAGAGAGCTACACAGCTCAGTGGGCCATACCTGGTAAAATAACCAAAAATTTAGTTTATAGATAGCATATATATTTTCTTATTTTATGGAATTGTCTTTTTATGTTGAGTTACTGATGTAATGATGGCGCTCTTGAGTGGCAGATTTGTGCCAGAAAAGCACGACGGGCATCATCATAACAGCGATGGCATCGATTAAACAAATGAGCTGATGATGCCGCTGCTGCCTCGTCACTGCTGACCAAGCGCAGCAAACAACAACAGGTCAAACACACTCAACAACAACAACACTGTGCGGCCTTCAAAATAAAATTAAATAAAATGTCATCGGGTAGAATTTCAGGCAATGGTGCAAGGGTGCAGTGGTGGATCCAGGGTGGGGTTTGGGGGGGGTGGAGCCCCAAGTTGATTTATGTTTGTAGCGCGCTTTTGAGATAGTCCGCGGGTTGCTGAGGACCAGACTTACGGAAATCGGACCTTGTGGAAATGCTCCCATAATCCTGTAAAAGATGTTTTTACAATACGCGGAAAATGTTGCTTTCGTTATGCGAGCGCAAGTAGTGCAGCGATGCGAGGTTGCGGATGAACAGCGCGGAGATTCACTCGGATTAAGGTAAATGGATTTTATCGTTGATTTTGGAGGAAAAACTGTTCAGTTTCTGACATACGGAAAATTCGGGTTCCGGATCGTTCTCGGGAACCTAACCCTTCCGTAACCCGGGGAGACTGCCTGTATGGCTTTGAAAGGCACTTTACAAAGGCAGTTTGCTGTTACGTCTCTGGTACGAGCGCGTCCGACCCGGGTCACCACAGCGACAAAAGCCAAACGGATGTACGGGCGTAAGTTGAACTTCTTTCGCACCACCGTACGTAGCCCACCGTGCTAATCGGAGATGCGGGGGAAGGCCAACAAACGAAACACGAAAAGCAGCTCGAAAGAAATGAATTTGTCAATCGAGGTGACGATTTAAAAGTGCACAGCTCCGGTGTCTTCCTAACGTCGGAAGAGCGTTCCAGACGGCCGCAGAAGCGCGTCTGAAAGCGCCGCGCGACACGGTGACCGCCGTCTTTGTTCGACGGCCGAGCCAAAAGCAGCGGCTGCTGCTGCTGCTGTAAAGATGACCAGCCGAGTTTGCGTGATGACGCTTTACGCTTCTTGACGAGATCAGCGAGGTGTTGCAGTTCATTTGCGGCGAGCGCCTCGTGTGTGTGGCCTCGTAACGCCGTATTCTTTCGGCAACCGGAAGCCCCAAAGCCATCTCGGCGAGCACCGGACGAACTCGGTCGCGTTTTGCGGTGCCGGCACGGCATGGCACGCCAAATGATGTTTTGTACACGCTGCTAAAATTGATTGAAGCGCCAGCGACTGATGAGAGAGAGGCTGCCGCGTGGCAGGGCGGAGACGCCGGCGCTCACCGTCCCAGGCGGGGCGATAGCTCCAGCAGGTCGCTGAGGTCGGGAGAGACGCCCAGCAGCTTCTTGTACAGCGCCAGCGGGAAGGGGAAGTCAATGAGGACGCGGTTGTAGACAGCCAGGCCGCACACCACGCCCAGCGCCCAGTAGATGTCTGCGCTCGAAACCGGGGTCTAGGGCGCGACGACGACAACAGAGCTTAGAATACTCTTTTGGTTCTTTCGGTAAAGTCACGTAGGTATAAAATAAAGTCAATCACGACGTTTCGATTGCAACACAAGCAATCATCATCAGGTGGGAAAACCACAGCGAGAAAAATGTTGCTGAACTTCAAATCTAGATTAGAGTTTAGAATATTGTGTTTTGTACTGGAGGAATCCGTTTGAGCTATAAGAAGCTCGCCATATTATCAGCTCAGCCGATCGGTGGAGCTTGGCCTTGTTATGTACACACACAGTCACCGTGTTTGGTCTTCCCCAGCGCACTGCGATCTCCAATAGCGCTGCGTAAGCGCTCACAGGCACGCTTTGGTCTCTGGTGGGTAGATGGTGATGACAGCGGTGGTGACACTTGCCCCGACAGTCTGTTCAGGCTACACGGGGGAATCTTTGTTTGCTATCGCCCCACTTGCTGCCACCCCAAGCATCGCGGGTACCGAGACGGCAGCATCTTGGACGCAGGTGGAATCTCCGCGCACCTGTCCAAGTCGAACCTCCTGCATGTCCTCCTCCGAGAACCAGAGCAGGTTCGACTCCCTGTCCGTCAGGAAGCCGATCTCCTTGTTCGCCACCAACGCCTCCATGAAGAGGAGGAAGAACTCTGCGTTCACTCCAGGCCCAGCCACCGCCTCCCCTACGAACCACACCTGCAGCCCCCAAACTCATTTCTTTAGAACCGCTTGGTGTTGTTGTGTTTACAGTTGTTGTACTCACGCCCCCCTACCGCCCGCACCTCCGATGAGCACGGCTGGCTGTACGGTGCGAAAGAAGTTCAACGTAGACACGTACATCGGTGAGCCTTACGACCGTTTCAGGAAGGACAACTAAATTAAAAAAAAACACACAATCACTGCAGAGGTGGCCGGTGGTTCGGGGGTCACCCCGTGGCAACGCGACACCGGCAGAACCGCGAAGAGTCGAGGTCAAATATGCCCAAAGTGAGCAAACGAACGGCGCGAAGTTCAAGATGAAGGCTGCGACGCCGCAGCACACACTCGTACGCTCACGTTCAGGTGCAGCCACACGGCGGTCCCCAGTGGGATCCTGAGAAGTGCGACGGCGTCTCCCAGGAGGTTGCTGCGTCGAATTTGCAGGGGCAGAGAGGGCCGGTCCAGAGGTTGTTGGCCAATCTTGAGGAGGTATAAGTTTTGTAAATATGAATAATGCTGCAGAAGGCGGGAAGGGGGTGGGGGGGGGGGGGGGGGGCACACCACGTCGGAATCAATCGCCGCCGATGCCGTGCGGTGCGGGGGAGAGACGCGCCGCCTGTCCAGAGGCCAGACTGCTCGTAGTGCAGGCCGAGTGTGGACTCCGGGGCCTGGAACAAGTGGCAGGCCCCCATGCGGCCTCCCTGGCTTGCAGGAGGCCGTGGCTTCGATCCCGGCCCCGACGCCTGCTGTGTATTTGGAGTTTGCGCGTTTGCTCTCTCTCTCTCCCCGTGGTCACGTGGATTGTTTTGTCACGGGGGGTCGTCATCGTCGTCATCGTCATTGTGTTTTGTTATGGGGGGTTGTTATTTTGAACGTCGTTCAACACGGAGGTTGCCACTGTGTTTGCGAGTTATCCGCTTAACGAGCGGCTCACAGGTGAAGCTCGCGAACGCCGCCGCTCGGCGGCACAACTGGTACCTGGAGCTGGTGAATGACGTGCCACTCAAACAACGTTATCCTTCCGTGCGAGTCCAAGAGAAACGGAAACTCCACGAACACTTCTAGGAGGGCCTAGAGACACACCAAGCGGACAGAATTAAACCCGAGGTTTGTGTAACAATGGTGACAATCCGCTGAGAACACACGCCTCAATTGATCCTCACCTGTGTATCGATAGTTCAGTGTTAATGTGCCGTTCTATTGAGGGACTGCTGCTGTCTGGTGTTGTCTTGGTGTGGTCTGGGACTGTCTCGTTCTTGGTTTTGCTGCCTTGCCCAATCTTAATCAATCAAGACTTACATGATTCATGTATTTATTACTTATTTATATTTAGTGACATGCTTACCTTGTTCTCTAGTTTGCACTCCGACCGTGTTGTTTTTGTATCGTTTGCCATTGAAACTCCGCTGACTCCGTGCCCCCACGCTGGACGTCTGTGAGCAAAGAGCTTCGTAGCTCATCGGATTCCTCCTCCTGCTGTCTAAATAAAGATTCAGATCCTGAATTCCAAGGCCTCCATGACACCATGTCTCCTCTACCAGTTGCCCCGGACGGGTCCCCCCTTGGCCCTGGGATCTCACCCCGCCGGTCTGTTTCCTTTCATCCGGGGCGCCGCGGTGGCTGGGAGATGTCAACTACCTCGCCTGGTGTACAGGAAGTCGTGGGTTCTAACCCGACCCTGATGCCCGCTGTATATTTGGCGTTTGCGTGTCTATCTCTCCGGTTATTCCATTCACATTTAGAACCGACATCGCCACGCGTTTAGAGTATTTTGCTGCTGCTATAAACGTCCACGTGATGATGATGATGATGATAAGCCACTTCGTTGAGCTATCATTTGTGATAGGCCGGTGGCTTCTGAAAAAGAGCTACATCGTTCGGTGGTGGGCTTTACCAGGTAAAATAGAAAATAGTAAAAAGTAAAATAAATCTGGCAGGGCCGCAGAGGTCTCGCGCATCACGAGATGAGGAATCCACTCGGATCTCTCGCAGGGCAGCGTGGCGCGGCCCGCGGAAGTAGGCTTCACAGAGCTACCTCCGAGGTTCATTCTGCACACGAGAGTGACTGCTCGTCACGTGATAGTCGGACCGATATTTTAGTTCTCGGGAATTGAAATTTAGTCAAGTTGAGCCCAGGTCCAAACCTGACTCAATGGCTGTTTTGTACGGCCTTCGGCAACTGGGCTGAGACCATCAACGGGGTTTAATCGCAACTCAGTATATGTGAGTCTCTCGGTCTCTATGTGAGTCTATGGGTCTCTGTGCGAGTCTATGGGTCTCTGTGTGAGTCTATGGGTCTCTATGTGAGTCTATGGGTCTCTGTGTGGGTCTATGGGTATCTGTGTGAGTCTATGGGTCTCTGTGTGAGTCTATTGGTCTCTGTGTGAGTCTATTGGTCTCTGTGTGAGTCTATGGGTCTCCATGTGAGTCTATGTGTCTCCGTGTGAGTCTATTGGTCTCTGTGTGAGTCTATGGGTCTCTATGTGAGTCTATGGGTCTCTGTGTGAGTCTTTGCATCTGCATGTGAGTCTATTGGTGTCTATGTGAGTCTATGGGTCTCTGTGAGTCTATGTGTCTGTGTGCGAGTCTACATGTCTCTATGAGAGTCAATGGTGACCGGGCTAAGACCATCAACTCGCTACGCTTGCGGCACTGACCCCTGGGTGACCTTCATTACCATCTGCTTTTGGAGAAAATGCTTCATGAACTTCGGCGTCTTATTGGCAAGCGGCGTCGCAGCCACCGCAGCCATCTCGGAGATGAACTCACTCAGCCGTGGCTCGTGCAAATCCTCCACCGCTTCTGCAGAGTTTTTGTTGATCTGAAAACCGCACACCGAGAGCACCAGGGGTGGGAGGGGGGAAGGGGTAAGGGGGGCAGTTTGTGAGCGACGCTGTCAGTAGCACTGCAGACGGCGCAGGGTGGCAAGGTGGCGGCAGCACGGTGGTGGCCTCGCAGCAAGAGGAACCCCCCCCCCCACCCCCCCCCCAGGGTTCGATTACCATCTTGGGTGGCTTTCTGTGCGCGTGAATTCTAGATTTGAAGTTTTCGTGACTGCAAGGATCCATACTCTTTAGTTCTTTCGGTAAAGTCACGTAGGTACATTTTGTTTAAAAATCAAATTAAATAAATTAAATAAAACAAAAATGAAAACAAATAAATTAAATCACGACGTTTCGGGCGCAACAAAAGCGTCCGTCATCAGGTGGGGACAACCACAGCGAAAAAAACCATCGCTGAAGCATGCCAAAGAGATGACTTTGACAAGGAATTAAATAGCTGAGGGTGAGGGGGGGAGGAGCCAGGGTGAGTGTGTGGGGGCGGGGCGTGGGCCCGAGGAGAGCGGTGCGGATGGTCCAAAGGCTCGGCCTACTGCTGTGACACGTTGGGGGGGGGAGGGGGAGGTTGGGGGAGAACTCTGCAGGCTCGAAGCACTGCACGGCAAATTTAGAAGTGATGGGAGTCGGCAGGGCTGGGAGTAAAAGACCGCAGATGCGGATATAAATATAAACTATAAGGCAGCGAAAGTTTAACTTGGTTAATAACATCCTTCCAATGATTGCTCAATTTGAATCCATCTTCTCGGTTGAAGTTATGTCTACGTTTGTATATCTGGATGGCTTCATGGACAAATCATTGGTGGTATCCAGACGGCTTGCAGAGCACTTTGGTATCGGAGAAAACAATATCATGAGAACCCACAGCGTTGTAACAATGATCAGCTACGGCAGAATAATTCGTCCTACCGGTGAGGGTCGCGGCGGCAGCGTGTTGAGTCGTGGAGGTCCAGACCTCCCTTTCCCTGGCGACAGACTCCAGCCCTACTACACTATACACTACACTATATACTATACACTACACTATACACTACTATACACAGACTGCAGCTCTTCCTGGGGAATTCCCAGGCGTTCCCAGGGCCAGCCAATCGACATCGTCCCGCCAGCGTGTCCTGGGCCGGCCCTGGGGTCTTTGCCCAGTGGGACGTGTTGCCCGGTAGAGTTCCAGAGGGAGTCTACCGAGGGGCATCCTTAACGGGTGCCCGAACCACCTCAACTGGCTCCTCTTGATTTGGAGGAGCAGCGGCTCGACTCTAAGGCTCTTCAGGATTACCGAGCTCCTCGCCCGATCACGGAGAGTTCCTCCTGAATCTGAGGCTCGACCACCGGGCGGAGCCTCCTCTCCAGCACTCTGGCATCGGCTTTACCTGGGACTCTGAGGAGTGTGATTCCTCTGTAGTTAGAGCATACCCTCTGGACCACTTTTTTAAAAATGGGACCCACCACCCCAGTTTGCCAATCCAGAGGTACTGTACTCGCCTTCCATGCAACACTGAATAGGCGCATTAACCACGACACTCCTACACTGTCCAGCGCTTTCGACAACTCTGAGCAAATCTCGTCCACCCCCAGCAGCTTTGTCGCTACGAACGCCCTCGACCGCCGCAGCCGTGATGGATCCGACCCCCCCAGCTGTTTCCAGGGCTACCTCCTGAGAAGAGGGCATGTCCACCAGGCTGAGGGGCTCGTCAAAGTGTTCCTTCCACCTCTCAACTATCTCCTTAGTTGAGTTCAATGTGACACCACCATCCTTACTGAGAACAGCCTGGGCCACGGCCCGTCGACCCCTCATAAGGCGTCAGATGGTTTGCCAGAACATCTTTGTGGCTGCCTGGTAGTCCCTCTCCATGGCCTCTCCAAACTCCTCCCACGCCCTCTTGGCAAGCCAGTACCTCTCAATCGAGTCGGGAAACCTTTTTCCGCGCATAGCTCGGAAAGCCTCCTTCTTCACCTTGACAGATTCCCTCACCACTGGTGTCCACCGGCGGGCCCTAGGGTTGCTACCATGACAAGAACAAACTACTCTTAGGCCACAACTTTTTTCGCAGCTGCATCCACAATCGAGGTCCTGAACCATCGTCCACTCTGACTCAATGTCCTGGAGTGCAGGAGAAGTTTTCCCGGAGGTGGAAGTTGAAATCTTTTGCACTCGGTTTTCTGCCAGACGTTCCCAAAAAACCGGCACGATTCGTTTGAGCCTTCCACGTCTATCTCGTCAGTGCCCCAAGCATCGGATCCAACTTACCACCAGGTGGTGATCAGTTGACAGCTCTGCCCCTCTCTTCACCCGAGTGTCCAGAACATACGGCCTTAGGTCCGATGATACAACTATAAAGTCAACCTTTGACCCAAGGTGCTCTGGCACCAAGTACACTTGTGTGTTTGAACATTGTTTGTTATTGACAGTCCATGACTAGCGCAGAATTCCAAGCACATCTCACCATTCGGGGTTCAGATCAGGGGGGCCATTCCTCCCAAATACGCCTCTCCAGGTATCTCCATCGGTTCCCACGTGAACATTGAAGTCGCCCAGTAAAACTGTGGAGTCAGTTGGCGGCACTCTGTCAAACACTGCACCCACCGTCTCCAAGAAAGCCAAAAATTCTGAATTGCTATTCGGTGCATGAGCACAGACTACAGTCAGAGGTTTCCTTTTTGAGACCCGAAGTCTCACTGAGACGACCCTCTCATCCACTGGGACAACCTCCAACTGAATAGCACCCAGCCGGGGGCTTGTGAGTATCCCCACACCCTCCCGGGGCCTCTCAACATGGGTTACTCCGCAATAGGAGAGAGACCACCCCCGGTCGAGAAGTTTGGTTCCAGTGCCAATGATGCGTGTGGTGGTGAGACCGACTACATCTAGTCGGTACCTTTCCACCTCCTTCCACCAGCTCTGGCTCCTTCTCCCCCAGTGACGTCCCAATAGCTCATTGTCCGTCGCCAAGGTCCAGCCCGTCCGAGGCCAACCCTCTCCCTGCCACGCTGGCATCGCGCCCGCCCCTCACCCTTCGTTCCGCGGATGGGGGGCCCACGGGACGGCGCCACGTAGCCATTTCGGGGTGGGCCCGACCGGGTTACGTGGCGGGGGTCACCCCGGCCACCGGGCGCTTGCCGGCAAACACCACCCTCAGGCCTGGCTCCAGGGGTTGTGTCCCGGTATATACCTCGTCCGGACGAGGTTCTCCCGATTTTTATATTTCAGAACCATTCATGAGGGGCTTTTGTTTGGACCGTTATTTGTCTGGAACCTCCCCCCAGACCTGTTCGCCAAGGGGAGACCCTGCCAGGATTACAGGCGGCATAGCTCTGAGGGTCATTGGATCACACAAATCCCACCACCATGATAAGGTTAGGATCCTTCAGTGGGACGCCGTGTGTGTGTGCGTGTATAACCGTCGTGTGTGTGTATAACCAGGTGAGAAAGAGCTTCATAGCTCATCGGATTCATCCAGTCGAAGTCCAAGATTCTGATTCCCATTCCGAATCGTTCGCGCTCTCTGGGCATGATCCACGCCACTGCCACACGTCCCGACTCCTCATCCGGGTAGTCACGAGCTAATACGCGAAAACCGCACACGTGAGCACGCGTCGTTTGATTTTAATGGGAGACAAAAAAATAATTCGGTCTGTGGGAAAAAAACAAATCTTCCCTCACCTCGTGCAGTCTCTGCAAGAACTCTTTGAGTCCAGGTGGTATTTTCATCTCACCCCCCCTGCCCAGCTTCTTCAAAAAGTCCAGCAGGAGATTTGTGGAAGCCTTCAGCATGCGGAGGAAGTCGGGTTTGGGCAGATGGGCCAACCACTCCTCTGCACATCGCACGTTCACGGGGAGAGGAGGGGTTTGACAAGGGGCCGCACGGCCGAAACAATGGTAGCCAGCAGAGTTACGTGGCAAGGGAGAGGTTACTCACCCACACACTCATTTAACCACTCACAATATACTTACACACTCACCCACCTATCTGCTCGTTCACAAACACAAAGATCCCCCCGTATAGCCTTAACAGACTGCTGAGGCAAGTGCTCTCAGTGAGTAGCCCCTATGAAGGCCTGCCACTGCCTTCGTCTCCCCAGTGGCGATGATTATACAAACCGCATTGGGTACTCATTTGAGGCTGAGTCGCCCTATGGTGTTGCCCATTAACGGAAATCGAACTCGGGTCGCCGGGATTGTAGCGCGGCGCGCTAACCACTACACTACCTACTCACTCCGCCCACTCACTCACACTCGCTGAACCACTCACCCACCCACTCACCTACCTACTCACCAACCCACTCGCTCACTCAAGTCGGACCAATTAATCCCAGGATGCCTTGCGCGGCACTCAGGCGCGAGTGGACGGAGATGCGGCGTGGACCCCCCCTGCGGTGGAATTGAACCGCGACCCTCCACAACCGAGCAGGCGAACCGCGCCGCCGCTACCGCCGAACCGCCGGGCCACCGCCGGACCGCCGGGCCAGCGCGAGCGGAACACGCGACGTACCGAAGAGTTTCCGCAGATGGTCGGGCAGCAGCACGACTTTGGCGATGACCGGTGCCGTGAGCTTCTGAGAGTCGGCGGTCCCCGGGAAGAGGAGGAGGAGAGCCAGAACCCTGAGCGAGTCCTCGTCAGGACGCAGCTTCTCCAGCGACGGCACGACAAACTCGCACAGCAGGTTGCTCACCTGGTCCAACGCACAGACAAAGATCCCCCGTATAGCCTCAACAGACTGCAAGGGCAAGTGCTGTTAAGCAAGCAGCACCTACGAAGGCCAACACAGCATAGTGGCAGTGGGGTGGCCAGCACCACGCTTTGGCAGGCTTTGTCTCTCCAGTGCCGGCAAGCAACCTCCGTGTTTGTATTTGATGTTTCTGTTCACGATTCCTACTCTCGTACTTTTACAGATTCGACCGACGCAGCAGCGAGGCACAAACTGCGCCACTCCCTGCCGCCAAATTATTGAAATTTGTGTGAATGGAAATCACAGCTCTCGAGAGGCCGTGAGCCAATGCAAAAGTGTCGCCAATGGAGAATTTCGCCACACGGAGGAGAGGAGCATCATGACAAAAGCGGTTCTTCGTGGGCGCTCTGGAATACAACAGGCAGAGCGAGCACGTTTCTGGGAGGCTCAACCAGGACACACTGCGAATATGACAGCCCCTCCCCCTCCCTCCGTCTCTTCGTCAGCCCAGCCGACCGGTCAGGTAGCCCCTCCCACTGCTCGGGGTAGCACCACCCACTGCTTGGGGTAGCCCCGCCCACTGCTTGGGTAGCCCCGCCCACTGCTCGGGTAGCCCCACCCACCACTTAGGTAGCCACACCCACCGCTCAGGTAGCCACACCCACCACTCAGGTAGCCACACCCACCACTCAGCCTCACCCACTGCTCAGGTAGCCCCACCCACCACTCAGGTAGCCACACCCACCACTCAGGTAGCCCCCCCCCCCCCACTGCTCAGGTAGCGCAGTCCTTTGCCCAGATCACGAGCTGAGCATGACGCTGAAATATTTTAAACTGGGACAAAATCTCGGTTTTTGCAAACACTGCAGGACACCGGGACTGATTTTTTGTTTAAACCACCGGGACTGTCCCAGTCAAAGCAGAACATTCGGTGGCTCTTTATCATTACCTTACTGGACAATTGTTTCGTGTGGAGATTCTCCAGCAGTTGCTTTGCCTCCTCCAAATTCAGTCCCAGGCTGACATCCGGAGATTGTCTGCCACCATCGAAAACAAAGGTCACAGTTAATTAATCAAATTACATTATCAACCCACTCGCTGATGTGTGTTACTCTGCCCCATAGCGCCCGTCCCCGTTGGTATGTTTGATACGGGAATTTCATTGGCTGAGCAGCCGTAGGAATTTCATTGGCTGAGCAGCCGTAGGAATTTCATTGGCTGAGCAGCTGTAGGAATTTCATTGGCTGATCAGCCGTAGGAATGTCATTGGCTGAGCAGCCCTAGGAATTTCATTGGCTGAGCAGCTGTATGCATTTCACTGGCTGAGCAGCACAACCTTGTTGCCTTCCTTAACGTCACAAATATTCCTTCAAAACATTCTCAAGCAGAATATTAGTGCTGGATACAACCACAAATGTTATTTGTAACTTTGATGATTACCCGAGTATCATTCGTTACATTTTATGTGCTTTGTTATTGAGGGACTCAAAGTCCAACGCAGCGGTTCTGCACCAACGCTCACCACACGCGCCGCCACCAGAGCGAGTCGTTGTTTTGGTCGTGGCGCGCGGCGCCGCCCCACGTGCTATGCTGAAATTGGACCAATCGGTACGGCAATTCGGCTCGTGGCAAATTGCTAATACACCGTATATATGCCAAAAGCACAGCCATGCCGAATTATCCCCAATTACGAATGATCAAAAACCGAAATAACGAGATTTTACTGCATTTATACTTGATCTATTTTATGTATTTATTTTTTAAGTAATCTGCTCACCTTTCCTATACTTTGGCACTCCAATCGTGTTTTTGTTGTGTTTGTAACTTTCTGACCCGCATCTAGTGGACATCTGTGAAGAAGAGCTTTATAGCTCATCGGATTTCCCCAGTCTAAATAAAGATTCTGATTCTGAATAAAAGTGTGATCACTTGCTGCTCAGGTTCGTGGTTCGAATCCAGCGGCCGCCCTGATTATTACTGCACAACAACGGGGACGATACCACGCGCTCTCCACTCCACTCCTAGAAGGCCGGCGGGCCGATGGGTTGTGTACAAAATGATTTATTTTTAACGTGGAAAGACAGACACGTGAAGGAGACTTTTTGTCTGCTCATCTGTCGTTATATATCTCTCCGCTGAATACGTAATCTTCTCAGGGGTGCCGTGGTGGCAAGATGTTAACTCCCTCGCCTGGTGTACAGGAATTAATGGGTTCGATCCCGACCCCTGACCCCTGCTGTATATTCTCTCTCTCTCTCTGCCCGTGGCCGCGTGGATTTTTCTCAGGGTCCTCCGGTTTTTCCCTTTAGAATCAACGTGCGTTTTGGCTGCTATAAATTTCCACGTGATGATGATAAGCTAATTAAGTTGAGCTATCATTTGTGGCCAGCTCACTACTGAAAAACAGTGGGCCTTACCTGGTAAAATTTAAATAGTTTAGTTTAGATTGGAATTCATCTCCCTGTTAGATAATTGAATAATTGCAAGGTCTGATGCCCCTTACCTCTGTGAGAGAAGAAAACTGCCATTGAGGCATGCGGCCGACGAGAAGATGACATCCATTTGCCTGTCGACACATTCAGTTACGGCACGAAGTTATACATACCGGGGGGGGCGCGCGCACCGTGACAGCGCTGACCGTGCAGAAGCTCGAACCATAATCTACCTCTGGCTCAGGGCCGCTGACGTGATCGATCCCTAACCCCCCCCCACTCCCAAACTTGTGTCTTTAAGAAACCCTCCACCACCCGGCACGACCAAAAGAATCACAGAGCGTTGCGTGCGAGCGTTCCCGTCGACGCGCCCATCATTGTCGTCGTTCCGACTCGCCCGGCGGTCACGGATAAGGGAAGAATTCTCATAAACCGATTTGATTTTTCTTTTGCGTCTTCTCCAAACACGAGCGAAGGGGGTCACAGAAATTCCGCGGGCAGAAGCTCCGAAATACGGAGCTCATGGATTGGGGGGGGGGGGGAAAGTCGCGAAACCAAATTTTAGCAACGGCAGCAGTTACAATCGCGTCCGGTCAGAGAGTTTTAGTTGGAGAAAAGCCGGGCAGGATTGTTGACGCAAATCGCCACACTCGCACGCGCGAGCGCCTTCTTGCTTACCGCTCAAACACAGGACGCAACGTTGACTTGGACATCAACTTCCTGCTCAGCTCCGGAGTCACGGTGAAGATCCCAGGAGCCCGCGTGCCCGTTGGGTCTCCTCGAGACTCCTGCAAGAGGAGGAGAATGCCTCCGCGTGATTTTATTGGTTATCGATTGCGACCGTCCTCTGTGCCTGTTTGCCCAGGAGAGCCGCAAGACTCTTTTGGCGAGGAGCGGCGTCGCCAGGTTCTTTCGCAGCAGAGGGCGGCGATGTTGCTGCCACGCTCGATCCCAATCGAGTAAACTGGCGATACGTTGTTCCGCATTGGGATGTGTTTGGCCTACACTGGTCACGTGTGTGTGTGTGTACGTACGTTGAACTTCTTTGGCACCGGTACGTAGCCAACCACGCTAATCGGAGGTGCGGGGGGGGAAGGACGAAAACACTGAACGCCAAAAGCAGTTCTCAAGGAATGAGTTTCCACGCGAGCTATGCAACGTAACGCAAAATGGCGTCGAACTAAAACATCCCGACGCTGAGACATCGCCAGCGAATCACTCTTCCTGCATCTCCGATTAGCACGGCTGGCTACGTAACAGTGTGGAAGAAGTTCAACATAGTGGTGACCCCCGACTTACGACGGCTTGTGCATGTCATGCGCACACTCGTAGTGTAGTGTATAGTGTTGTGTATAGTAATGTAGTAGTATAGTAGTCTAATGTATAGTAGAGTTGTAGTGTAGTGTATAGTGTAGTGTATAATGTAGTGTGTAGTAATGTAGTAGTATAGTAGTCTAATGTATAGTAGAATTGTAGTGTAGTGTATAGTGTAGTGTATAGTAATGTAGTAGTGTAGTGTATAGTAGTGTATAGTAGTCTAATGTATAGTAGAGTCGTTGTGTAGTGTATAGTGTAGTGTATAATGTAGTGTATAGTAATGTAGTAGTAGAGTAGTCTAATGTATAGTAGAATTGTAGTGTAGTGTATAGTGTAGTATATAGTAATGTAGTGTATAGTAGTGTATAGTAGTCTAATGTATAGTAGAGTCGTAGTGTAGTGTATAGTAGTGTAGTGTATAGTGTAGTGTATAGTGTAGTGTATAAAATGGGACCTTTTTTGCTCATATCAAAGTATAAAAAAAATAAGAATAGGTTTTCCCCGTACTGGCAAGTCACAATAAATCTTTGTTAGGGTTATTTTCATTTATTTTCGTGGTCAATTTTGCCATTTTATTGGTACGTAATGTGTTCCCAGGAACGGAACCCCCAATGGCATATCATTGTGCCCCCCCCCCGTGGGAACTAAGTGGCTGGACTTACGACGGCTCCACTTGCGAGCGTCGTGCAGGAACCAATTGGGTCGAAGGTGCGGGGGTCGCCTGCACACACGTACGCGCACTATGTCGGTATGACGCACACGGCAGCAACACCGGACCTCTGGTAAGCACGGAGAGGCTTTCCTCGGCAGGCGAGCGGAGCCGTCCTCAAGGAACGGGGACAGTGCCGCGGCGGACCGTACGCTCACCTCTGCGCTGCAGCACGTGGCGTAGACGCGGCTGCCTCCGGCAAAAATGTCCCTGACGATGATGCCGGCTGCGGGAGACGTTCACAATGTCAGTGTCACCCCCCGCGGGCTCACTCGGGGAACGCGCGCCTCCCGGATTTGATGCTCTCGCCATCTCGGGCACGTTAGCGGTGGCGCGTGACCGTCAACCGCATCACCAGAACGTCACCGGCGGCAGTCCGACGGACACCACATCTGCTTCACGAGCGGGAAAATTGTGGCGATGTTTACACACCGCACCAGGTACTCATTTGAGGCAGAGTCGACCGAGGGGAGGCCCAGGAACGGTTCAGATAATCCGTCAGTGGTGTTGGTGGCCGCGAGCGGGAATCGAACTCGAGTCGCCAGGTTGGTAGCGCGGCGCACGAACCGCTACGCTACCGCTCATACATACGTACAACATACGTACAACATACGTACAACATACATACAACATACGTACAACATACGTACAACATACATACAACATACGTACAATGTACGTACAACGTACGTACAACATAATACAACATACGTACAACATACGTACAACATACATACAACATACGTACAACGTACGTACAACGTACATACAACGTACGTACAATGTACGTACAACGTACGTACAATGTGCGTAAAACGTACGTACAACATACATACAACATACGTACAACGTACGTACAACATACATACAACGTACGTACAATGTACGTACAACGTACGTACAACATACATACAACGTAGGTACAATGTGCGTACAACATACATACAACGCAGGTACAACATACGTACAACATACATACAACGTAGGTACAATGTGCGTACAACGTACGTACAACATACATACAACATACGTACAATGTGCGTACAACATACATACAACGTAGGTACAATGTGCGTACAACGTACGTACAACGTAGGTACAATGTGCGTATAACATACATACAACATAGGTACAACGTACGTACAACATACATACAACATACGTACAACGTACGTTGTACATACGTTGTACGTATGTTGTACGTTGTACGTACAACATACATACAACGTAGGTACAATGTGCGTACCTGTGCCGGCCGGACCCCCAGGTGAGACCCCGCCCAGCTCCAGCTCCGTGGTGCCGCCCTGCTCCCCGGGGCCCTGCGGCGTCGCGAGCAAGTAGATTCTCCTCGAGGTGGCGCACAGCGCCGCCGTGTGAAACCTGCAACGGTCAGGGAGCAGCGGCCGTGGTCAGCAGGGAGGCAGGCTCGCGACGGACGGGCGGGCGACGGGCGACCGGAGTGGGTCCGCCAAACGGCTCGTGAACGGGGGCGAGCAGTACAGCGGAGGCTGCGACCCCAGCAAACGTAAGGCAACCAACCGACTTACAGCGCCGAAACGTCGCCTGTTATTAACTTTGATTTTTTTTGTAAGGGCTGCAAAGTAATCAATGAATGCGTTTAGCGCTCCTTGTCGTTGTTATTGTCGTTCGTGCTTGGCGGCGACACCGGCGACGTCATCGGCGCCAAAACGCTTGCGTACCTGCTGCAAGCGATCTGCGATATTCCGCTGATGCCACACTCCGTCACCACAGAGCTGTGGGCCAGCTGTTCGGTTGTTGTCGTAGCAGCCGCAGCAGCAGCACCAGCATGAGCAGCAGGAGGTGCAGCAGCAGCAGCAGGAGGTGCAGCGCCACCGAGAATGAGCACCGTCCCCTCCTGTAGCGCAGCAGACACGGCGTGAACACGGACACGGCATGAACACGGACACGGCATGAACACGGACACGGCGTGAACACGGACACGGCATGAACACGGACACGGCATGAACACGGACACGGCGTGAACACGGACAACGCTCCCCCCGCGTAGCCTCCGGGGCACTCCGAGCGAAATAACGATCGCGACGTCAACTTGTAACGCCGTGCCACCGGGCGGTTCGCTCCTCTAAACTATAAATGCGTCGTTAAATCTGCTACCACCTGACACGGCCAATTAGTAAGGTTTGTCACGTGAATAAAACGTGCCAATTCGTGACTAGTACAGCAAACCGCAGGCACATATACCCCGCATAAAAATAGCGTTTTGTGTAAAAAAAATTCAGATAGCCCGCACCTCCATATACCCCGCATGCATTAATATATTTAACGTCCTTACCGCAGCTTAATTCCATCATATTAATACGAAGTTGACATTTGCAATGCATTCCACTATCAATTGTTAACATTAAAATCATAACGTGCACAAAGAACACAAACTCACCGGAAACGAGTGAACTTAAAACAGTAAATAAGTAACAAAAGTAAATGTCCAATAAATAAGTAACACATAACTGGTAGATGAGTCAGTACAGTTTTAGCACTGGTAGATTGCGCACTGCGCAGATAATAGCGGCACTACGGTGACGCCATTGCCTCGCCCCAGCTGCCCCACCCCCCAACCCCCACCTCTCCCTCCCCCCAGCTGCCCCACCCCCCAACCCCCCACCTCTCTCTCCCCCCAGCTGCCCCACCCCCCAACCCCCACCTCTCTCTCCCCCCAGCTGCCCCACCCCCAAACCCCCACCTCTCCCTCCCCCCAGCTGTCCCACCCCCCAACCCCCCACCTCTCTCTCCCCCCAGCTGCCCCACCCCCCAACCCCCACCTCTCTCTCCCCCCAGCTGCCCCACCCCCCAACCCCCCACCTCTCCCCCCCCAGCTGCCCCACCCCCCAACCCCCACCTCTCTCTCCCCCCAGCTGCCCACCCCCCAACCCCCACCTCTCTCTCCCCCCAGCTCTCCCGTCGCCGGTAAACAGTGCGCCCACTTAAAACATTGTCATTTAATTGTACAAACAATTCATTTAAACCGTGATAACATGTGCAATTTTAGTGTGAGTGGTTTATTCAGCAGTGCTTTAGTCAAAGGTAAGTGTTGCATAGTGAATAGTCCTACCATTACATTTTTTTAACCAGTCATGACGTCACGCGTGTAAAATATTTTTTGGGATAGCCCGCACCTCCATATACCCCGCAGGGTCTTGTCTTGTTTGTATGAAGTGGTATACCCCGCGGGTTATATGCGGGAAAATACGGTAATTGTAAAAGTAGTGTGTTTACTCTCCAACACACCGGTGGTGCTGTACTAGTAACGAATTGTCACGTTTGGTTTACGTGACAAATCTTACCAATATGACCGTGCCGGGTGGTGGCGGGTTTAACGACACATTTGTATATTTAAGCGACCTCACCCAAACAAACCCTCTATTGTGGATAACATCGGTCGCGAAAGCCTACTGGCTGATCCGTTTGTTTTTCACGGCCGGTAATCGTTCGCCGCCCTCGCCCGGGGGTACCTTGGTCAGCAGCGCGGTGTGGCGGTCGCCGCAGGACGGTTGGACAACGTGCCGGGCCCGCAGGCTCTCCAATCGCACGACCTCGCAGGCGTCTGGGTGGGGGAAGAAATCCGGCAGAGAGCTACGTCACCACTGGAACTCCGAGCCTTGGTAACAAGCAGATTTTTCTCGCCCCCCCCCCCCCCCCCCCCCCCGCGGCCTCAAGTAGGAGAGGCTTAATCGGCGAGTGCTCCCAGGTGGTACGACGCAGAAACGCGGCTCGCAAAGCCGCGAGGTACGTGAAGGGCGCGCGACCCCCCGATCAGCGCGGTCGGCTACGTATGGTGCGAGAGACGTTCAGCGTGCGTACAAAGAAGCGGAGGGAGAGGACGCGAGCTGGGGATTACACCAAGAGGCAAAATATATGGGGTGCTACGGTGACTAGGAGACGTTAACTCCCTCGCCTGCTATGCAGGAGGTCGTGGGTTCGATCCCGACCCTGACGCCTGCTGCTGTATATTTGGAATTTGCGTCTCTCTCTCTCTCTCTCTCCCCGTGGTCGCGTGGATTTTTCTCCGGGTCCTCCGTTTTTTTTTTTCCCCTCCACATTTAGAATCGACATCGCCACGCGTTTACAGCATTTGGCTGCTACACATTTCCACGTGACGATAAGCCACTTCGTTGGGCTATCATTTGTGGCCAGGTCGCTACCGAAAAAAACGAGCTATACAGCTCAGTGGGCCTTACCTGGTCAAATAAAAAGAGTTTAGTTTAAAATAAATAAGTAACATGTGTTATTGTTCAGTTTCTGTAAACACGTAGAACGGAAAATGCACAGAGGTCAGTCGTCAAAACGTTTACGAGAGCGCGCGATGCTCTGCCACGGCCAGGAGGGACGATGGGGCGACGACGGTCAAAGATAAAGATGTAAGGGGGCAGCCAAGGAACGTATCGCTTCCACGCGGACGTCCGGCGTGCAGACGGAGCGACGGAATCAGTTCACGTGGTGGCGCTGGGTGATTCGCTGCGCCAGGAGCCTCGCGCAGGATGGTGGCTGCTTGGGGAGGATTCATCCAGCAGCGGACTGACCATGGCTGACAACGATGCTGGTTTCAGTTTTTTTCAGTTTCATTCATTTGGTATAGCCCTGTGAGCCATTCAGCTCTTGAATCGGGTGCAACCGCAACAAACAAAAAACACGAACAAGACAACATCTTAAAGTGACTATGTGTGACTGTGCAAACAGAAAATCCGGGAAAAAAAAAACAGCAAAATATTCCAGAAAAAGCACCGTGTACACCAACGCTGATGACATCACTACATATTTCTCTCTAACGAAGCGGGAAAGAATCGTGGAACGAGATAAAACTTCCGTCCTGACGTTCCTCTCCAGGCTGCACGGGGGTGGGGTGGGGTGGGGGAGCTTCTCCTGGGCACCGAATCCGTGCCAAACAACGCAAACAACGTTCGGGACGCTATCCCGAAAACACGAGCCGGTCAATTGGCGAGTCCTCACTCGGTTAAACGGATTTTACTTGAAACTCGACGGAGCGCAACGGGGGGGGGGGGGGGGGGGGGGGGGGGGGGGGAGGGGGGGGGAGTAGGAAGAAGAGGAAAAAAAAGAAAAAATAGGAAAAGGAAAAGATAATAAGGAAAATAGAAGAAAAAATAAGGGAAAAGGAAGAAGAAAATAAGAAAAAAGACGAAATAAGGAAGGAAAACAGAATGAAAAAGTAAGAAACTATTTGGAAAATAATAAGTAAAAAGAAGCCAACAAAACCCCACGCAGCCGTCGCAGTCGGATGAAGAGAAATTCAAAGAGGGAAACAAAAACGTTGAGCGGGGAACCTTGCAGATGGTCGAGGCCCAGCTGGCCGTGAGCGTTGGCGCCCCAGACGAAGACGCCGCCGGTGAGCGTCAAGGCCAGGCTGTGCGCGGCGCCGGCCGCCAGGGCCCTCAGGGGAATCCCGCACAGGGCCACCACGTGCAGCGGATCGCTCCGCGGGACTTTGTCGCCCAGGCCCAGCTGCCCGCGGTCGTTCGTCCCCCACGCAAACACCTCGCTCGCTGACAAACACCAAGCGGGAGGGCGTCACCGCCACGCCGGCACCGCCCGCGCAGCCGCGCCACGCGGCCGTCTGGAATGCTCTTCCTTCCAATGTTAAGAAACCACCGCGCACTTTTAAATCATCTACATTGAAATCGAATTTCTTTAGAACTGCTGCTTGTTGTTGTTGCATTTACTTTGTTGCCCTTCGCCCGCACCTCCGATTAGCACGGTTGGCTACGTACGGTTCAACGTGCGTACAAGATGCCACCGCACTGCACCACCAAACCTAGTAACGAATTGGCACGTTTTGCTTGATGAACCTTACTAATTGGCTGCGTTGGGTGGTGGCGGGTTTAACGACACATTTATATTTACGCCATCTAAGCCAAAAACCTCTTATGGGTAGTACGTACGTAAGTTAATCGGAGGTGCAGTGTTGAGTCTATAGGTAGAGTTAGTCTATGGGTAGTGTTAGTCTATGGGCAGTGTTAGTCTATGGGTAGTGTTGAGTCTATGAGTAGTGTTGAGTCTATGGGTGTAGTGTTGAGTCTATGGGTAGTGTTAGTCTATGGGTAGTGTTAGTCTATGGGTAGTGTTAGTCTATGGGTAGTGTTAGTCTATGGATAGTGTTAGTGTATGGGCAGTGTTAGTCTATGGGTAGTGTTAGTCTATGGGTAGTGTTGAGTCTATGGGTAGTGTTAGTCTATGGGTAGTGTTAGTCTATGGGTAGTGTTAGTCTATGGGTAGTGTTGAGTCTATGGGTAGTGTTAGTCTATGGGTAGTGTTAGTCTATGGGTAGTGTTAGTCTATGGGTAGTGTTGAGTCTATGGGTAGTGTTGAGTCTATGGGTAGTGTTAGTCTATGGGTAGTGTTGGTCTATGGGCAGTGTTGGTCTATGGGCAGTGTTAGTCAATGGGCAGTGTTAGTCTATGGGCAGTGTTAGTCTATGGGTAGTGTTAGTCTATGGGTAGTGTTGGTCTATCGGTAGTGTTGGTCTATGGGTAGTGTTAGCCTATGGGCAGTGTTGAGTCTATGGGTAGTGTTAGTCTATGGGTAGTGTTAGTCTATGGGTAGTGTTAGTCTATGGGTAGTGTTAGTCTATGGGTAGTGTTGAGTCTATGGGTAGTGTTAGTCTATGGGTAGTGTTGAGTCTATGGGTAGTGTTGAGTCTATGGGTAGTGTTAGTCTATGGGTAGTGTTGAGTCTATGGGTAGTGTTAGTCTATGGGTAGTGAACTTCTTTTGCAGCGTACGTAACCAACCGTGCTCATCGGAGGTGCGGATCTGGCCGCGTTATACTCTGTGGCTTCCTGCGCCTCTGGACGTAAAAAATAAATAAAACTGTGCGGTGCATCACAAAGTGTGCGTATTTGTTTACTTATATATTTTTACAGCTGCTATACATGGTGGTGGGGGGGGAGATCGAGGTAGATGCGAGGGTTGAACGGTGGCATACCGCTGGAGAGAGCGAGGGTGTGGTGGGCTCCGCACGAGACCTGCACCAGCGTCACCCTCCGGAATGCGTCCACCACGATGTTCACCGGCCTGTGAAGTGCACGCGCCCATCACCGCCAAGTTTACTTTGCTTAAAATTAACCACAGTTTTATTGAATACATTTGATTTTGGCGCGATCATTTGAATAAACTAAAACCGAACTATTTTTATTTTACTAGGTAAGGCCCCACTGAGCTGTATAGTTATTTTTCATAAGTGACCTGGCCGTCACAAATGATAGCTCAACGAAGTGCCTCTCATCATCACGTGGAAATTTACAGCAGCAACCAAATGCTCTAAACGCGTGACGTTGATTGTAAATGTGGAGGGGAAAAAACGCGCTTCTGCGGTCGTCTGCAACGCTCTTCCTTCCGTTATTAGGAAGCCACTCGGAGCTATGCACACTTAAATCATCATCCAGATTGAAAGCTCATTTCTTTAGAACTGATGTTTGTGTTTAGGTTGTTGTCCTTCCCCCCGCACCTCCGATTCGCACGGTTGGCTACGTACGCTGCGAAAGAAGTTCAACATACGTACAGACACAGACTCGCATAAAGACCCATAGACTCACAGAAACCTATACAGTAAAAACTTGGAATGCGAGTAACTTGGTCTGCGAGTGTTTTGCAAGACGAGCAAAAATTGTGAATAAATATTAATTTGATAAACGAGCGAGGGTCTTGCAATACGAGTAGTGTACGTGTACGCTTTGTCTGCCGAGCGTCACGTGATCACAACTGATATACGTTGTGCTTTGATATACGAGTGCTTTGGATTACAAACACGTTTCCGGAACGAATTATGCTCGCAATCCAAGGTTTTACTGTAGTTTGTTGCCCTTCCTACGCACCCCCAATTAGCACGGTTGGCTACGTACGGTGCGACAGATGATGGCCTACGCAAGCTGTCGCCATCTCTGCATGTATGTTGAATTTCTTGCGCACCCTACGTAGCCAAGGAATAGAACACGCAATGAAATCAGCTCGTACGCGCGAGCTGAGACGGACTGTTGCATCGCTAGAGACACACCTACGATTATCGTGGTTGGCTACGTACGGCGCGAAAGAAGTTCAAACGTGCAAACACGCAAATTAAAAACACTCCGCTGACGAATAACTCGGTCGCAAATTTTCGCTCGAAACAATGCCGCTGCCCTCCGCGGCCCCCCCCACGGGATGAGAACCTCCGGCCTCGAGTGGACCAGCACTGGCCTGGGAGCGGAGACACTCCGGGCGTCTCCTGCCACCGCCGCCGTCGTCTGCGCCACCGCCGGCTTCCTTTTATTTTTCTTCCCCGATTTTTTTCTCCACTGCTTGGGCGCCAGTTGCGAATCCACGGTCGCTCTGCGGAAAGAGATGTCGGCACCAAAAAAAAAAATCGCAAACTGGCGTCCGAAACGTAACACTTTCATCGCTGATTTCATGCTTGAATAATTATTGGCGATATGAAAAATAAGAATAGGTTTTAGCCTTTCTGGCAATATAACAGGTGGTGTGTTAAGATGTTCAAAAACCAAATAGAATCCTTCTTCAAGGAATCAAGTCTGCATTAACCAAATGTGGTATTCTGATAATTCATTAATCTATGCATTGTCTTTGAAACTGATTGGCCTGCACCGGAGATAGCCATCTTTATGGCCTAGTCTCACTACCAGTGTCAGACCAGAGAACGCCACAAAGCGAACAGCACAACAACGATGCCACACGTATCAGAGCATTCATAACTCGGTGTGAGCAGCTTTCTCATGTGTCCCTAGATAATTTAAAAGCGATTTGATATTTAATAGGTCAATTTCTTCAAACACACCGGAGTTTGGGGGACTGGTGGCACGGTGATTAGCATACCGCGCTATCGACCCGCTGGCCTGAGTTCGATTCCCGGACCACGGCTTACATGAGTGGCGAGTGATATTCTGTTTCCTGAATGAATTATTAGTGCTGTGGGAGCTTGGGGGGAAAGAGACAACGATGGGACAGGGAATTGTGGTGAGCGAGTGGGTGAGCGAGTGTTGTTGTTGTGACTTGCAGTGTGGTGGGTGAACGCAGAATGGACGAGTGGAAACAGTCAGTGTCTGGTGGTGGGAAGTCATTATGGTCATAGCAATCGAACTAAAACTAAACTATTTTTGTTTTACCAGGTAAGGCCCCACCGAGCTATGTAGATATTTTTCAGAGGCGACCTGGCGATCACAAATGATAGCTCAATGAAGTGGCTCATCATCATCACGTGGGAATTTACAGCAGCCAAATGCGTGATTTTTATTTTAAAGGCGAAGGGAAAAACCCACGACCACAACGGGGAGAGAGAGAGAGACATGCAAACTCCAAATATACAGCAGGCGTCAGGGTCGGGATCGAGCCCACGACCTCCTGCATACCAAGCGAGGTAGTTAACATCTCCTAGCCACTGTGATGATGATGAGAGAGACATGCAAACTCCAAATATACAGCAGCAGGCGTCAGGGTCGGGATCGAGCCCACGACCTCCTGCATACCAGGCGAGGTAGTCAACATCTCCGAGCCACCGCAGCGACTGACCGCCGAGCTCGGGCCGACCCAGCTCACGGCGCCCCCCGGTGCCACTCACCTGGGCGCGTCCCTGCCGCCCCACGTGATCAGCTGCCCGTCGCCAGTGAGCGCCACCGCGTGATGCTCCCCGCAGCTCACCTGCGTCAGCCGCTCCGCGGGCACAGCTGCACACGCAGCGGCGGAAGGTGGGACGAGGTGGAGGGCGGGCAGAGGTGGGCGGGGGACCGTGTCGCGTGAGAAATGGGAACGGCCGCTTCAGCGTAACGGGCGAGGCGCCGGTTTGCGCACCGCGGATCGCGATAAAGCGCACAGCCGCCTGCCCCCCCCCGCCCCCCTTCGCGAAGAGGAGACGAATGTTGATTCTCAGAGGAAGCGTTCGCTCCCCTGTACATCAGCACCTCCGTTCGCCCACCCCCGACCGTCTCAGCGGCGGCACGTCACGCGATCGGACGAAGACAAAGAATTGGCACGTTCTATTTACGTGACAAAGCTTACTAATTGTGTCGGGTGGTGGAGGGTTTAACGAAACAACATTCATATTTACGCAATCTAACCCAAACAAAAACCTCTTATAGACGAAGACTCCGTAATGGAACGCTCGCTCCGCGGTGCTAATCTCCTACTGGACATCTGTGAAAAAGAGCTTCATTGCTCATCGGATTCCTGGAGGATAAATAAAGATCACGATTCTGATTCTGTTAGAGAACAGAGCGTGCAAGCGGATCTCGCGGGGGAAGCCGTACAGATGATCCAGTGCCGGAGGGGGCTCAGCACTGCCCCCACAACGCCCCCCCCCCCCCATGCTCAACAACTCAGCACCCCCTTCTAAATTCTTCCAGTCGAGTCAAACAATGTTGGCGACGATTAAAAACAACGCGGCACGACGCAGCGCCGGCGACGAGCCGCGAACCTCGAAGACGAGCGGCGAGCGCGGCGAGCCAAGTTTTACCCTCGTTCGAGATCGTCAGGACGGCCGGCGACCGGCACCGCCCGGCGACCGGCGATTGCCGGCGCCGCCCCGCGGCCTCGCGGTCGGCAAGGCCTCCCCCCCGGTCGCCGCTGCCGGTGGGGGGGAGGTGCCGGGGAGGGGGGCCGTACGTCCGTGTGTGTATGTGTGTGCGTGCGTGTGACCGTGGGGAGCGGTGGAGTAGCGGTTAGCGCTACGAACCCGGCGACCCCGAGTTCGATTCCCGCTCTCGGCCAACACCGGTGACGATTATCTGAACCGCTCCTGGGCCTCCCCCTAGGTCGACTCGGCCTCAAATGAGTACCTGGGTGCGATGCGTAAACATCGCCACTGGGGAGACAAAGGCGGCCGCGCGTGGTGCCGGCGATCCACCCCCTCGTGTGCCGTTGCCGGCCTTCGTAGGCGCTCGCTAACAGCGCTTGCCCTGACGGTCTGTTAAAGGCTACACGGGGGATCTTTGTCTTTAGCGTGCGCGTCGTCGCCCCCCCCCCCCCCCCTCACCTTGAAAGCCGTCTCCGCTCACGCCGCACTCCAGCGCCGTTCCGTCCTCCGCGAGGACGATCAAGCGCTGATCGCCGCCGCACGCCGCCGCCACGCGGCCTCCGCCCGCGGAGACCCCGAAGAGCGGCGTGGCGCGCGCCACCGATGGCGAGGCCTCGTCCAGCCGCCAGCAGACGAGGGCTGGGAGACGCGGAGGCCCCTCGCCCGAAGCCGGGAGGGATGTCGCGTTGGGGGTAGCGGCGGGGATCGCCATCCCCCCGCGCTCTGTAAGACGCGAAGTAAAAGTTGAGACATCGGACAAACCGGGGCACGTCTCACCGTTCCCGCACCGCCGATTAGCACGGCTGGCTACGTACGGTGCGAAGGGAGTTCAACGTGCGTACACGCGCACGTTATTGTATTGTGGTCCACGATGTGCCTCCGTAGACGGTAACCAAACAATGGAGTGCATCATCGACTCTCTTGCCCCTGCGATTGATAACCTCACAGGAGTCCGAGTGGACACGGGATGCGGCTCACAGCACGTCGGCACGACACTCAAAAGTTCACGGTGTGTTTGCTCGTTCGTTTGTTTTTTTCCCGCGAGATGGAAGCCATGAGGCCAGAAGAAGAGGCGGCATTGTTGTGCCAACCACGGTGCCCTCCAACCACTGGCCCACACGACCATCACTCCAAGTTTTTTATTTTAAAAGCTATGTACGTACCTGCCAACCCATACGGTTCACCCCATAATCTTGTACAGGGAAATTGAGTTTTCAGGTCCATACGGTGTAGAGCCGTTTCAATATGGGCAAAATATTTAAATGTTTGTGTTTCTCCCTTGTGATGGGACTTTGCAGGATGCACGTTGAGATGTATAAGGGGCACGGGGTGACCAATAAGGTCTGAATTAGTCTGTAATAAGGTCGGGCACTGACAAGGGGTTGACAGGTATGTATGTAGCTCGGTTTCAAAAGTGACCTTGCCACACAAATGATAGCTCAACGAAAGTGTCTCATGATCACCACGTGGAAATGTATGGCAGTAGCCAAATACTCTGAAACGCGTGACGTCGATTCTAAATGCGGAGGGGAAAAACCGGAGTACCCGGAGAAAAAAAACCACCCCACCACCACGGAGGGAGAGAGAGAGAGACACGCAAACTCCGTCAGGGTCGTACCCACCACCTCCTGCGTACCAGACGAGGAAGATAACGTCTCCTAGCCACGCCAGCAATTGGCCCAATAAACTGGACATGCGGAACGTCCAGCGGTGATTTTCGACTTTGTACACCACTCAGCCCCACCATCCCCGCAGCGACTGGCATGCGGCTGGCAACAAACGCCGGGGCCTTTTCACGTTTAAGGAAAGACTTTCAAGGATCCCTCCGGGATGGCGGCGGCTGAGCAGCACCCACTCCTCCTCCCCACAACTCTCCCCTTCTAAGTCAAAAAGATGTGAGAGCAATAACAAACAAATGGAATCAAATTTCGATTTAAAGCTTTCGTGACTGCAGGGATTCATATATTCTTGGTTCTTTCGGTAAAGTCACGTAGAAGGGAAATAATAAACATAAAACACTAAAATTCTCACGACGTTTCGATTGCAACACAAGCAATCATCATCAGGTGTGAAAACCACGGCAAGAAATGTTAGACCAGAAGATGCCAAAATGCGAACAGCACAAAGACAATGCCACTATGAGGACATTGAGAGCTCGGGGTGAGAAGCTACATCATGGGAACTTTCTTGCCAGTATCAAAATATAAGAATGGGTTTTACCCTTTCTGGCAATAAACACCGTTTGAGACTAGGCTCTAAAGAAAGCTGTCTCTGGTGTGGACCAATCAGTTCCAAAGACAATGCATCATCACAGACTTCCAGACGTATGTTTACTGTTTGCATGTTCACCACAAGTACCACGTGGTAAATAGGGCCATGATTCCATGCAAAATGTTTCTGTTGTGGTGTTGTAATATCTTAACACCTCCTGTTTGATTGCCAGAAAAGGGTAAACCCAATTCTTGTATTTTGATACTGGCAAGAAAAGGTCCCCACGATACCATTAAAGGTTCTGGACTCTTGACAAAAGTTTAAAGCAATCGCCAAGTCAGGGTCACTCAGCAGGACCCCTTTGGCACTAAACAAGACCCCCTTTGGCTCTAAACAAGACCCCCTTTGGCTCTAAACAAGACCCCCTTTGGCTCTAAACAAGACCCCCTTTGGCACTAAACAAGACCCCCTTTGGCACTAAACAAGACCCCCTTTGGCGCTAAACAAGACCCCCTTTGGCACTAAACAAGACCCCCTTTGGCAGTAAACAAGACCCCCTTTGGCACTAAACAAGACCCCCTATGGCACTAAACAAGACCCCCTTTGGCACTAAACAGGACCCCCTTTGGCACTAAACAAGACCCCCTTTGGCACTAAACAAGACCCCCTTTGGCACTAAACAAGACCCCCATTGGCGCTAAACAAGACCCCTTTGGCACTAAACAAGACCCCCTTTGGCACTAAATAAGACCCCCTTTGGCTCTAAACAAGACCCCTTTGGCACTAAACAAGACCCCCTTTGGCTCTAAACAAGACCCCCTTTGGCACTAAACAAGACCCCCTTTGGCACTAAACAAGACCCCCTTTGGCACTAAACAGGACCCCCTTTGGCACTAAACAAGACCCCCTTTGGCTCTGAACAAGACCCCCTTTGGCTCTAAACAAGACCCCCTTTGGCACTAAACAAGACCCCCTTTGGCACTAAACAGGACCCCCTTTGGCTCTAAACAAGACCCCCCTTTAGCACTAAACAAGACCCCCTTTAGCACTAAACAAGACCTCCTTTGGCACTAAACAAGACCCCCTTTGGCACTAAACAAGACCCCCTTTGGCACTAAACAAGACCCCCTTTGGCACTAAACAAGACCCCCTTTGGCACTAAACAAGACCCCCTTTGGCACTAAACAGGACCCCCTTTGGCACTAAACAAGACCCCCTTTGGCACTAAACAAGACCCCCTTTGGCTCTAAACAAGACCCCCTTTGGCACTAAACAAGACCCCTTTGGCTCTAAACAGGACCCCCTTTGGCTCTAAACAAGACCCCCATTGGCACTAAACAGGACCCCCTTTGGCACTAAACAGGACCCCCTTTGGCACTAAACAAGACCCCCTTTGGCGCTCAGCAGGACCGCCCTTTGGCGCAAGATGAACTGTTGTACCGTACTACGGCTCCCACATCTACGCCCCCCCCCACCACCGCCTTGTGAGAGTGAACGGTTCTAACTTAAGCGGAAGCCCGCTGGTTAATGTTGTGGATTTCACCCATCGAAACGAGAGGGTGAGAGTCTTTTAACAGCAGCAGAAACTCATATTCTTGGTTCGTTCGGTAAAGTCACGTGGATAGAAAATAAAAATAATCAAACTGAATTGAAAATAAATAGAAAAAAATATTATTTAAAAATAAATAAAAATTATATCTCCGTGACTTTACGGAAAGAACCAAGAATATTAATTCCTGCAGTCACTAAAATTTCAGGTAAAAATTTAGCAGCAGCAGCAACAACACGACACGAATACAACTACAGTACACAACTACAGTCTACAACTACAGCACACAACTACAGTACACAACTACAGTCTACAACTACAGTACACAACTACAGTGCACAACTACAGTGTACAACTACAGTACACAACTACAGTGTACAACTACAGTACACAACTACAGTGTATAACTACAGCACACAACTACAGTACATAACTACAGTACACAACTACAGTGTGCAACTACTGCACACAACTACAGTACACAACTACAGTGTGCAACTACAGCACACGACAGTACACAACTACAGTGTACAACTACAGTGTATAACTACAGCACACAACTACAGTACACAACTACAGTGTACAATGTACTCACCGTGCGTGGACGCTGTCGCCCCGCACGCGGCGTCCATACTTCACCGCTCTGGTCCTGCCGAGTCTCTGTGAGTCTCTGAGTCTCTGTGGTCCTGCCGAGTCTCTGAGTCTCTGTGAGTCTGTAAGTCTGTGAGTCTCTGTGTCTCTGTAAGTCTCTGTGAGTCTCTGGTCCTGCCGAGTCTGTGAGTCTCTGTGAGTCTCTGTGAGTCCCTGTCAGTCTGTGAGTCTCTGTGAGTCTCTGAGTCTCTGAGTCCCTGTGGGTCTCTGTGGGTCTCTGTGAGTCCCTGTGGGTCCCTGTGAGTCTCTGTGAGTATCTGAGTCTCTGTGAGTCTCTGTGGTCCTGCCGAGTCCCTGAGTCTCTGAGTCGCTGTGAGTCCCTGTGAGTCTCTGTGAGTCTCTGTGAGTCCCCTGCGAGTCTCTGTGAGTCCCCTGTGAGTCTCTGTGAGTCCCCTGTGAGTCTCTGTGAGTCCCTGTGAGTCTCTGTGAGTCTCTGAGTCTCTGTGAGTCCCTGTGAGTCCCTGTGAGTCTCTGTGAGTCCCTGTGAGTCCCCTGTGAGTCTCTGTGAGTCCCTGTGAGTCCCTGTGAGTCCCCTGCGAGTCTCTGTGAGTCCCCTGTGAGTCTCTGTGAGTCCCCTGTGAGTCTCTGTGAGTCTCTGTGAGTCCCTGTGAGTCTCTGTGAGTCCCTGTGAGTCTCTGTGAGTCCCTGTGAGTCTCTGTGAGTCCCTGTGAGTCTCTGGACCTGACGAGGCTCAGACACTCACAGACGCTGCGCCGCGCGCTCCGTTTCGGGGAACCCGCGCCGAGGGGCTGACGTCACCTCTCGTCAACACAGTGACGTCACCTCGCGTCAACACAGTGACGGGAGGTGACGTCACTGTGTTCACGGCCCTTCTTACCCCCTGCTGTGTTGACTGCCCTTCTTACTCACTTCACGTACTCACACTGTAGGTGGTGTACCAGGTAGCAGTCACTTTACGTACTCACACTGTGGGTGGTGTACCAGGTACCAGAGTCACTTCACGTACTCACACTGTGGGTGGTGTACCAGGTACTCACACTGTGGGTGGTGTACCAGGTACCCACACAGTGGGTGGTGTACCAGGTAGCAGTCACTTCACGTACTCACACTGTGGGTGGTGTACCAGGTACCAGAGTCACTTCACGTACCCACACTGTGGGTGGTGTACCAGGTACTCACACTGTGGGTGGTGTACCAGGTACCCACGCAGTGGGTGGTGTACCAGGTAGCAGTCACTTCACGTACTCACACTGTGGGTGGTGTACCAGGTACCAGAGTCACTTCACGTACACTGTAGGTGGTGTACCAGGTAGCAGTCACTTCACGTACCCACACTGTGGGTGGTGTACCAGGTAGCAGTCACTTCACGTACTCACACTGTAGGTGGTGTACCAGGTAGCAGTCACTTCACGTACCCACACTGTGGGTGGTGTACCAGGTACTCACTGTAGGTGGTGTACCAGGTACCCACACTGTGGGTGGTGTACCAGGTAGCAGTCACTTCACGTACTCACACTGTAGGTGGTGTACCAGGTAGCAGTCACTTTACGTACTCACACTGTGGGTGGTGTACCAGGTAGCAGTCACTTCACGTACTCACACTGTAGGTGGTGTACCAGGTAGCAGTCACTTCACGTACCCACACTGTGGGTGGTGTACCAGGTAGCAGTCACTTCACGTACTCACACTGACGTGCTGTGTGGTTTTCTCAATTATCAACGCTCACCAGACAATGTTAAAGGCTCCCATAGGTTTCAATGTTAAAACCTCCCATAGGTTTCAATGTTAAAACCTCCCATAGATTTCAATGTTAATGGCTCCCATAGGTTTCAATGTTAAAGTCTCTCATTGGTATTCTTTGGGTCTTTCGGTAAAGTCACGTAGATAGTTTTAAAGAAAATAACAAACTACGACGTTTCGATCACAGGATGACGATCGCTTGTGTTGTGATCGAAACGTCGTAGTTTTTTTGTTATTTTCTTTGAACCTATCTATGTGACTATGAATTCTATGAGAATATGAATTCCTGCAGTCACGAAAGCTTTAAGTCAGGATCTCCCATAGGTGTCAATGGCAAAGGCTTTGAATGTTACCCATCAGCCGCTATTCTCAACAGTTCGACATTGTAATGTACCTACCTGCATGTCCTCCTCTAAGGCGCGTCTTCCTCTAATTCCTGTCCTGCATCTCTCCATGCTTTCATCACCACCACCACCGTGGTCTATCCACTGCTGGATGGAGATCAATGTGAAGGTGATGGTGGTGATGTCTCTACTCCGAGTGTGTCCTCTCCTCCACGTGCTACTCTCCCTGCCTCTCAGCGCGTCTCTCTCCACGTGCCGGCTGCTTTCCCAACTCTTACGCTTTGCTTGCAAAATGTTTTAGTCAAAAGCCACCGCCGGCTTCTGAACCGCGTCGCGTAAGCAGCGGGGGGTGTGTGGGGGGGGGGCACACACCACGTGCCGATGTTTTAATTGCCCGACAATGCGATTGGTATCAAAGATTTAAGAAGACATTTGAAGCGGAAAGAAAAAAAATCACCCCGAAATCAGGTCCCCAAGATTACAGCTTATAATCTTTTTTTATTATTCATACACGTGCCACACAGCGGGTCTCACCAGCAGAGATACAGGTTACACACGTTACTGGGTAACGCCGTGGATGTTTGCGTGGTTGATGCATCGTAGCTGGATAACAAACCGCAGGCGTGAGCATCACCACCAGTGTGGGCTTATACCCGAGTCGATGAGCGGAGATCGGCACCACCACCACCACCCACTTCACAAACTTGAAACGGCGCAGACTCGTCGCCACGCACAGTGTTGGATGATTCTAGTAGCAAAAGCAGCTACACGCGCAGCAGCTACTACACGTGTAGCAGCAGCTACTGCACGTGTAGCAGCAGCTACTGCACGTGTAGCAGCAGCTACTGCACGTGTAGCAGCAGCTACTGCACGTGTAGCAGCAGCTACTGCACGTGTAGCAGCAGCTACTGCACGTGTAGTAGTAGTAGCTACACGTGTAGTAGTAGCTACACGTGTAGTAGCTGCTGCTACACGTGTAGCAGCAGCTACTGCACGTGTAGCAGCAGCTACTGCACGTGTAGTAGTAGTAGCTACACGTGTAGTAGCAGTAGCTACACGTGTAGTAGTAGCTGCACGTGTAGTAGCAGCTACTGCACGTGTAGAAGCAGCTACTGCACGTGTAGTAGCAGCTGTACGTGCAGCAGCTACGGGTCCCGCGTTTTCAAGGGCCCCGCGCTAAATGCTTTCCAGCTATCAATTCCGGTTCAGTGATTCTGCACTTGCTCTATTACTACAGTACTATACCGCCTTCAACTTTTATGAACTGGGTGTTTAAGGTGAGCGATTTGTCGTATTATCTGGCTGTATTGCAAATGAAAAAATGCAATTACTTTACAGTGCGGGTAACAAATGTACGTGTTTTAATGTGTGTTATTATTTATGGCCCCTTTATAACATCATGCTACAGGCCCCGCACGAGCTTCATCCGGCACTGCTCGTAACAGCGCGCATTGTGCGCATTGTACATCGTCTGCATCACAGTGCGCCCGTGGTGATTAAGTATAATCATTATTATAGTTATTAAGATGGTTCTAATTGCGCGTGTGTGTGTGTCCCCAAGAAAGTCTCACAGAGTCTCAAGACTTCTTTTTTTCAGGAGGGTCCTGCCACCGTTTTCACTTTCGGCGTGGCCGCTGCCGATTCTACTGCTTCTGCTGTTGTTGCTACCCCTGCTCATGCTGCTGATGTTCTTCCTGCTGCCGTTTATACCGCTGCTGCTGCTGATACCGATGCCGCTGCATGCGGATCCCAGCCGAGTGATTTTTTTTGCGGGACATTTTTCAGCACTGCGACGTTTTTTATCAGTTCCACTTCGTACCCAAAACCCCAGAGGAACCCCCGTTAGAGAAACAGGAGGGTGGAGGTGGGGGTGCGGCGTAGAAACCCCGCACACAAAGACTCCCGTGTTGGCATCCCAAACCAGGCCCCTTCTCGCCACTGCGAGGCGGCGAGCGTCAACCACTGCCGTCCCTGGCCACGTGGGGTCACTGGGGTGGGCGCATGGCGGTGGGTGGCACACGGAGGCGCGGATTCTCAATTAAAAATCATCAACGTTTGCCCGCCTTGTGTCGAGATGTAATGTCGATCGTTTGACCCCGTGGACGCGCCGACAATTCCATTCGCGAGGAGCGTTCGCCCTCCGTGTCGGGAGAGGGAGCGCGGAAGGACAACGCGGAACGCCTGGTCGCGTCCCACACGAGGTGGCCGTGTCCCACACGAGGTGGCCGTGTTCCCACACGAGGTGGCCGTGTCCCACACGAGGTGGCGATGGCTCGCACGCGCAGGGCAGGCGACTTCGCTGCCATTCCCTGGGGAGGATCACAGCGGCGCTGTTGCCATTCCCTGAGCGACCCACCAACCCCCAGGCTGCACACGTGCGCGTGCCTCCCACGATGCTTTGCGGATGTACACAAAGTAGGTTATTCGACCGGTTATAGCTGAGATAAAATAAATAGGCGAGCAACAAGCCGCCCTACTTCCCACATCTGTCCATCCAAATAAAACAATAACGTAAAGTAAAATGCTCATCCCATCGGCCACACGGCCTTCTGGAAGAGCATGTTATCATCAGGTGACACTGGTGTCAACACGAGCACGACTTTGGACCCGTGTCGACGTTCAGGTTCTCATCAGCAGTGTCAGGCTCGCTTCAACCAATGCTGATGAGCGGTCAGTTGTTTTTGGCAAGCACCCCCCCCCCCCTCTTCTCTGCGTTCGTTTTGAGTGTTGTTACCCCTCGTCCGTACGGATGGGATTTCTCGGGGATTTCTCCCGAGATTTCTCGGGGATTTCTCTACGATTTCCCCGGGTTTCCGCCGCGATTCCTCAGGGATTCCTCCGGGGGGTTTTCTCCTCCGTACGACGCACAAACACGGAACGTTCAAAACGGGGGTAATTACAAACCCCCCCCTACGACGTCCCAATGTCGCAGCAGCCCCTCTTTCCTCCTCCTCCTGCCAACGAGCACGTGACTTTTACACCCTTCGTGGGGCAAACGGTTCAAGACTCCGTGTGTAATAATTATCACGAGGTTCATAAAATACCAAAAAAATACCACAACGACACAGTAGCTACTGCAGACCGCGAGTCGAAACAAATTCATCCTTCACGTGACCGATGACGTGCAGGTGTTCGCTGAAAGAGGCGACGCAGCGTACATCCCCCTCCTCCGTATTTGGCATTCTTCAGAAGACTTGCGCGCAAATTCCGCGGTTGCCCCCAAAGGCAAGTGGCTGTTAGCGAGCAGCAGGGCACACGAGGCGGTGGTGGTGGGCGGTCAGCAACACGCCCGGCCGCCTTTGTCTCCCCAGTGGGGATGTTTACACATTTGAGGCTGAGTCGACCTAGGGGAGGCCCAGAACCGGTTCAGATAATCGTCACCGGTGTTGGCCATGAGCGGGAATCGAACCCGGGACGCCAGGTTCGTAGCGCAGCGCTGCTAACCGCTGCACCACCGTTCCCTCGAGCGGTGGTGCAGCGGTTACCCCACATGCACGATCACCACCCCAGTCACGAGGAGTGGATACGCGCGGGTGAAATGATGAATTTGCCACGGAGGCTATCGCGGTCAATATTATTCTGAATAAAGTTATTTTTGTGTGTGTTTGGGGTGTGGTTAAATCGTGTAAATCGGAGCGGGTTCTTGCAATCGCCAGCAAAGCGTCGCGTTACTCGAATTGTAAATGTTGTAGTGGGGTTTAGTCTCCAACACACAACCGGTTAGTGCTGTACTAGTAACTAATTGGCCACGTTTTGTTAACGCGACAAATCTTGCAAAATTGGCTGTGTTGGGTGGTGGCGGGTTTTAACGACACATTAATATTTACGTGATCTAACCCATGAATTTACCGCAGGCAACATGAACGGACTTGTGTTTGTAATCTCTGTGTATCCTTGGTATCTATGTATATCTCTACCTCTGTTTCTCAGCGGGTCTCTCTCTCTCTGTCTGCGCGTCCGTTTCTCTCGACCCCTTTGCTCCGTTTGAAGCAACGGCGCTGCACTCTGTGTCCATTACGACCCCTGACTGTGCCGATTGTTGCTGGCCGCTTGGCGGGGCTGCTCAGAAGCCTACGGGGGAACCCGGAGCTGGCAAAGTCTGGGCTTAAACAACAACACATTTAAATTGGATTAATAACTTACGCACCACCTCGAGAAAGCTACGATCGTCTTTGTTTTACATTTCAAAGTTAAGTGCCACTTCCACGTGGATGAAAAATCGAACGGGAGAGTGCGTTAATTATATATGCAACACCGATATGACTTTTATATATATTCACAACAAAAAAACCTCGCCTTTGTACAAACTACACAAGCTGAACTGAATTTGCACCGTTAAATACATATCGATATAAAATACGTAAAAATAAAAATCCGTTCACGCGTTTGTTTTTGATCTGGCCGAGAAATAATCGTCGGGGTAAAAACGTCGCAGGAGCGAGCGAAGCCGCGGATCGTCGTGGGGGGGGCCGAGAGCGAGAGGACTCTGCAGGGGCAGAGTTGGTCGTGAGTACTTTGAACTTCTTTCGCACCGTACGTAGCCAACCGTGCTAATCAGAGGTGGCGGGCGAAGGACAACAAACTACCACGCCATAAATACGGAAAACGATTTTTTTTTCTTTTAACGAGATGAGGGCCACACTCTGAGCGGTGTAGCTCTTTTTCAGAAGCGACCTGGCCGTCACAAATTATAACTCAACGGAATGGTGGCTTATCATCATCAGCACGTGGAAGTGTCTAGCAGCAACCAAAGACTCTAAACGCCGTGTTGTTGCTTCTAAATGTGGAGGGGAAAAAGCGGAGGACCCGGAGAAAAATCCATGCGACCACGGGGAGAACATCCACACTCCAAATATACAGCAGGTGTCACAGGGTCGGGATCGAACCCACGACCTCCTGTATACCAGGCGAGGTAGTTAACATCTCCTAGCCACCGTGGCGCGAGTTCATTCCGCTACGCAGTCCCCCGACAGGTGCAACATCACCACCATCGTCACCATCATCACCGTCACCCCTCGTCGTCATCGCAATCGACACCGATGTGCCAAGGCTGTTAATCTCTGCCCAGATGAACTCTCACGGTCATATCTTAAGCCACAGCTCGGGCTAAGGCTTTGGAGCCGCTCTCCGATCATTTGCGAGAAACGCGAGTGGCCCGGCCGTGCCTCGGCTCGTGGAGCTTCCCGAGCACGGCCGTCAGTGTCGGCTCCAGGTCGTGGGTGACTGAGCGGATGGCTGGTGGTGGTGGTGGGCGACTTGGTGGGTGGGTAGTGGTGGGGTGGGAATGCGTTGTAGCCGACCCGGATGATGCAAAGCGAATGTGGATGGTAGCTGGACGTATGCTGTGCGTTGAACTTCTGTCGCTCCGTACGTAGCCAAACGTGCCGTGCGTTCGTATTTGTCGCCTACGTAGGAGTGAGTGGGAGACGGATGCGGAGTGCCTCCGTCTGGCACCTCCGTTTAGCACGGCTGGCGACGTATGACGCGAACGAAGTTTAACGTACGGTACATACTTGTGACGTTGCGGTCACGTGGGCCCCTGCTCACCCCCCCCACCACCTCCTCGGCGATATTGAAAGCGGCACGCACGTAACAGTACGCTTGCAGTGTGCGGATAACGGAGAGTTATCTGGGCCCAAAGGAACCAACGCCGCCGGCGACAACGCCGACGAGCTCCGCATTCAGTGTTTGTGTGTTTTTGGGAAGCTCCACCCAACTCTGTGTTCCTCTCTCGCAGTATTCTCCAGATTGGCAAACGCTCCGGAGCCTCGCACGGACCCCGAATGTTTATAAGCCCCCCCCACCCCCACCCCCGTGTCCATTAATAAAGTTACTCCGGGTCTGGTCACACGCACTCGCAACTACCGCACTATAAGACGCGCAAACCAGCATTTTTTTTTCATCTCAAATTCCGGCAGGTGGGAGGGAAATCACCGCGTGTCACATAATCCGGAGAATACCACAGGGGACCTGTTTATGAGAGGTCCGTGGTACTTTTGAAAGGGCCCCTCCGAGGCCGAGCATCGTGCCGGCGTACGGGGCAGGTTCGCCTAGGGCCTAGCGGAACGCCACTCACGCCTTCGCTCGCCACAAACACAAGAATCATGCATTTCTTTATTTCCCCTTTTCCCTGCGATGTTTCAGAGACGCCGCGGCCGCCTCCGGCCCCGCGCTCATTTCAGGCCGAGCCGACCTCGCACGGGACGGCCCATTTCACGCACCGACACGCGGCTCGCTCTGCCGACCCGCCGGAAGGCCACGGATGGCGAAGCGGTCGGCGCCTCCTTGCGGGCGTCTCTGCGGGAGGGCCTCTCCCTCCCTCCCACCCTCCCGCTCTCTCCCACGCGGCTTCCGAGTCCACAACGAGGGCGCGCCGATGCGGCGAACGGCGTCGCTCTCGGAACAACAACGGCGCGAGAGGGGCTCCGCGTGCAAGGCCCTCGCTAGAACGCGGCGTTTTTCTTCGTCTCGATGTTTCCGTTCATCGACGTCCAACAATCGTGCCCAGTGCCGCGTGTTAACACTTCCACAATCCTACACCGGTGGCGCCGCCCCCCCTGCCCATCCCACTTCTCCGCTAACGGTAAGGTTTTTCACGTGTTCCACATCATCTCGCGTGTTCCACATCATCTCGCGTGTTCCACATCATCTCGCGTGTTCCACATCGTCTCACATGTTCCACATCATCTCGCGTGTTCCACATCATCTCACGTGTTCCACATCATCTCACGTGTTCCACATCATCTCGCGTGTTCCACATCATCTCGCGTGTTCCACATCATCTCGCGTGTTCCACATCATCTCACGTGTTCCACATCATCTCACGTGTTCCACATCATCATGCCCTTCTGTAGCCTAACCAAGGGGGCTGCCCTCTTTTTTGATCAACCCCATTCCTCACTCTGCTGCCCCCCCCCCAACCTGTGATGAACAAAAAAAATTCCCACAAGTCGCCCCTCCCCCCCCCCAACGGGTGCCGGCCCTCGGCCGCGTGCGGTTTTCCCGGCGCCGCCGCCGCCGCCGCCACCGTGGCTCCCGCGAGCAGCCGGTTCGGCGATGGCGTCGGCGTCGGCGTGGGCACCACGAGCCGCGCCACCTCCTTCGCCACGGTCAGAAAGTCGCGGACGGCTGTTTGCGAGCGCCCGGCGTTATGAACCCGCGCACTCCGTCCATGGTCTCCTCCGCGCGACGGTAGGCCTCTTGGCCTTCCTTGCCTGAAAAAGAAGAGATGAATAGTAAATAATAAATTAGTTATTCTTTGTTTTTTCGGTAAAGTCACGTTGAAGGGAAACAACAAAATAATAAAATATATATAAAAACAATAAAAAAATTCTCACGACGTTTCGACCATAACTCAAACGGTCGTCTTCAGGTGTGTTGGTTTGCATTAATTTATTTTTAAACGGCGCATTTATTTATAAAAAAAAATCGTCTCCCCCCTCCTCTTTTCAGAATATAGATCAGGGGTCGGGAACCTATGGCTCGCGAGCCAGATGTGGCTCTTTTGATGATTGCATATGGCTCGCAGATAAAACAAAATATTCTCACTTGTTTTAATCCATCCATCGATTTTTCACTGCGCATGTCCTGTTCAGGGCTGCAGGAGCAATTGTCCATTATTTTAATTGGATGATACTGGCCTACGTTTGCCGTTGCTGGGTAAAACAGGTAAACGCCCCCTTTTGAATCAGTCTGAGACTGCGTCTGCTCGGTCATTAGCTCAAAGCTAACCCTTCGACGAAGAAGATGGCGAAAAGAAAAAAAGACGACGAGTATCGTACATTTCAGGACGAATGGACCGAAGAATTCGCCTTTGTGGAGAGAGCGGGTTCTGCGGTGTGTCTAATTTGCAATGACAAAATTACATCGTTGAAACGGTCGAATGTAAAGCGGCACTTCGACACGCGCCACGCTACCTTTGCATCAAAATACCCTGCGGGAGACAGCAGAAAGAAAGCGTGCCAAGAGCTTCTGAGCAGGGTGCAAGCTAGCCAGCAGCAACTCCGCGTATGGACCCGGCAAGGTGACTATAATTCGGCTAGCTTTGCTGGTTCTTTAGCAATAGTGAGGAACGGAAAACCATTCACAGATGGCGAGTATGCTAAAACGTTCATGCTGGATGTAGCCAATGAACTTTTTGATGATCTTCCGAACAAAGACAAGATAATCAAACGGATACAAGACATGCCTCTGTCGGCAAGAACTGTTCATGATCGTACCATCGTGATGGCAAACAAAGTGGAGGAAACGCAAGTGAAGGACATAAATGCAGCGCCGTTCTTTTCTCTGGCTTTGGATGAGTCAACAGACGTGAGCCATTTGTCGCAGTTCAGCGTGATTGCAAGATATGCTGTTGGTGACACACTGCGCGAAGAAAGTCTTGCTGTTCTGCCATTAAAAGGGTCCACAAGAGGTGAGGATTTATTCAAGTCTTTCATGGAGTTTGCTCAAGAAAAAAGTCTACCTATGGATAAACTTCTCTCAGTGTGTACTGATGGTGCTCCGTGTATGGTGGGGAAAAACAAAGGATTTGTGGCGCTTCTCCGTGAACATGAAAATAGACCCATCCTAAGTTTCCATTGCATTATACACCAGGAGGCACTTTGTGCTCAGATGTGTGACAGGCAGTTTGGCGAAGTGATATCGCTGGTCATTCGTGTGATCAACTTTATTGTTGCCCGAGCCTTAAATGATCGCCAGTTTAAAACTATCCTGGTCTGCTTTTGCACAGCAATGTGCGTTGGTTGTCAAGAGGGAAGGTGCTTAGCCGTTTTGCGGCTTGCCTGAACGAAATCCGGACTTTCCTTGAAATGAAAGGCGTCGGGCATCCTGAGCTAGCCGACACCGAGTGGCTCCTCAAGTTTTACTATCTCGTAGATCTGACTGAACATCTGAACCAGCTCAACGTGAAAATGCAAGGCATTGGAAATACAGTGTTATCCCTTCAACAAGCTGTATTTGCTTTTGAAAACAAGCTGGAGCTTTTCATCACGGATCTTGAAACAGGTCGTTTACTACATTTTTAAAAACTGAGCCAATTTAAAGATGCATGCACAGCAAGTGAGCCCATTCAAAACCTTGATCTCCACCAGCTAGCTGGCTGCACATCCAGTCTCCTACAGTCCTTCAAAGCACGCTTTGGAGAATTTCGTGAGCACACTCGTCTTTTTAAGTTCATCACCCATCTAAACGAGTGTTCACTGAACACAGCCGACCTGAATTACATCCCTGGTGTCTCCGTCAGAGATTTTGAAGCAGAAGTGGCTGACCTGAAGGCCTCAGACATGTGGGTGAATAAGTTCAAGTCACTGAATGAAGATTTGGAAAGAATCACACGACAGAAAGCGGAGTTGGCGAGCAAGCACATGTGGACAGAAATGAAAAAACTCCAACCCGAAGACCAGCTGATTCTCAAAACTTGGAACGCGCTTCCTGTCACATACCACACACTGCAGCGTGTGAGTATTGCTGTATTGACCATGTTTGGATCTACGTATGCATGTGAGCAGTCATTCTCACATCTTAAAAACATCAAGTCCAACCTACGATCACGTTTAACGGATGAAAGCCTCAACGCTTGCATGAAGCTTAACCTCACCAAGTACCAACCCGACTACAAAGACATCAGCAAATCCATGCAGCACCAGAAGTCGCATTAATGGTGAGTGTTATAACAACATTATTTAAAAGAATAAATTCAGAGGCTTATTATACTGACATTTAGTTGAATTCACTTTTAAAATATATTATATGGCTCTCACTGAAATAAATTTCCAAATGTTTTGCTTTCATGGCTCTCTTAGTCAAAAAGGTTCCCGACCCCTGATATAGATGGACTAGTCCTAAATAAACTGCCAAATCGTTGCGCGTGGCGCTAACGTTTTTATAAATAAATAAATGCGCCGTTTAAAAATAAATTTATGTGAACCAACACACCTGAAGATGACCGTTTGAGTTATGGTCGAAACGTCGTGAGAATTTTTTTATTGTTTTATATATATTTTATTATTTTGTTGTTTCCCTTCAACGTGACTTTACCGAAAAAACTAAGAATATGAATTACTGCAGTCACGAAAGCTTTAAATAAAAATAAATTAGTTGTACAAATATCGTCGGCCGTGCTCGATCCACTGCCGGATAAACGCTTCCCCCCCCCCACATCACTAGCGGGCGCCCCGAGAACGCAGCCACGCGTGGCACCATCCCACGTGTGGCACCATCCCACACGTGGCACCATCCCACACGTGGCACCATCCCACGCGTGGCACCATCCCACGCGTGGCACCATCCCACGCGTGGCACCATCCCACGTGTGGCACCATCCCACGTGTGGCACCATCCCACGCGTGGCACCATCCCACGTGTGGCACCATGCCACGTGTGGCACCATCCCACACGTGGCACCATGCCACGTGTGGCACCATCCCACGTGTGGCACCATCCCACGTGTGGCACCATCCCACGCGTGGCACCATCCCACGCGTGGCACCATCCCACGCGTGGCACCATCCCACGCGTGGCACCATCCCACGTGTGGCACCATCCCACGTGTGGCACCATCCCACGTGTGGCACCATCCCACGCGTGGCACCATCCCACGAGTGGCACCATCCCACGTGTGGCACCATCCCACGTGTGGCACCATCCCACACGTGGCACCATCCCACGTGTGGCACCATGCCACGCGTGGCACCATGCCACGTGTGGCACCATCCCACGCGTGGCACCATCCCACGCGTGGCACCATCCCACGCGTGGCACCATCCCACGTGTGGCACCATCCCACGTGTGGCACCATCCCACGTGTGGCACCATCCCACGCGTGGCACCATCCCACGCGTGGCACCATGCCACGTGTGGCACCATCCCACACGTGGCACCATCCCACGTGTGGCACCATGCCACGTGTGGCACCATCCCACGTGTGGCACCATGCCACGTGTGGCACCATCCCACGTGTGGCACCATGCCACGTGTGGCACCATCCCACGCGTGGCACCAACGCCGCTCGCCGCTCCGCGTCCCTCCGGTTGCTCGCCGCGTCTGCCGCTTCGTAGCCATTCCTGACCCGACGGCCACCGTCCGCCCCCCCCACCCCCCCCCCCCCCCCCCTGCCAGCGACGTGTCGGTTCAAGGCCAGCGGCCGCCCTGGTTAATGCCGGGGGCTCGGTGGGGCCTCACCAAAGGAGAAGAGGGCGTCCCTGGCCGCGAGCTTCACGGGCTCCTGGTCGACCTGGCACAGGTGCAGGAGCTGCTCCATGCTCTCCTTGGCCTGTGTGAGGGCACAAAGACGAGGAACCCCCCCCCAGTGTAGTACGTGTGTGTGTATGTGTGTGTGTATGTGTGTGTGTATGTGTGTGTATGTGTGTGTATGTGTATGTGTGTGTAACCTCACGTGTGTGTGTGTGTATGTGTGTGTATGTGTGTGTGTGTATGTGTGTGTAACCTCACGTGTGTGTGTGTATGTGTGTGTGTGTATGTGTGTGTAACCTCACGTGTGTGTGTGTATGTGTGTGTATGTGTGTGTGTGTATGTGTGTGTAACCTCACGTGTGTGTGTGTATGTGTGTGTATGTGTGTGTAACCTCACGTGTGTGTGTGTGTATGTGTGTGTATGTGTGTGTATGTGTGTGTGTGTATGTGTGTGTAACCTCACGTATGTGTGTGTATGTGTGTGTATGTGTGTGTAACCTCACGTGTGTGTGTGTGTAACCTCACGTGTGTGTGTGTGTGTATGTATGTGTAACCTCACGTGTGTGTGTGTATGTGTGTGTGTATGTGTGTGTATGTGTGTGTGTGTGTATGTGTGTGTAACCTCACGCGTGTGTGTATGTGTGTGTGTATGCGTGTGTAACCTCACGTGTGTGTGTGTATGTGTGTGTAACCTCACGTGTGTGTGTGTATGTGTGTGTAACCTCACGTGTGTGTGTGTGTATGTGTGTGTAACCTCACGTGTGTGTGTGTATATGTGTGTGTATGTGTGTGTGTATGTGTGTGTAACCTCACACGTGTGTGTATGTGTGTGTATTTGTGTGTAACCTCACGTGTGTGTGTGTATGTGTGTGTAACCTCACGCGTGTGTGTATGTGTGTGTAACCTCACGCGTGTGTGTATGTGTGTGTAACCTCACGTGTGTGTGTGTATGTGTGTGTAACCTCACGTGTGTGTGTATGTGTGTGTAACCTCACGCGTGTGTGTATGCGTGTGTAACCTCACGCGTGTGTGTATGTGTGACCTCACGCATGTGTGTGTGTGTGTAGCACTTGCCCCTACAGTCTGTTAAGGCTATACGGGGGATCTTTGTCTTTTGTAAGCTCACGCGTGTGTGCATGTGTGTAAACTCGGGTGTGTATGTGTCTGTGCGTGTGTGTGTGTCCCTCAAATCAGTACCTGGTGCGGTGTGTAGTAAACATTGCCATTGGGGAGACAAAGGCGGCCGGGCGTGGTGCTGGCCACCCACCCCCTCGTGTGCCGTGCCGGCCTTCATAGGTGCTCGCTAACAGCACTTGCCCCTACAGTCTGCTAAGGCTACACGGGGGATCTTGGTCTTTGTGTATGTGTGTGTTCACCTGCAGGCAAGCCAGTGCTGCGCAACCAGCTCGTCTCAGAATCTCATCCTCCTCTTCCAGAAGCTGCAGACACCAAACCACCACCTATTCACATGCACAACGACAAAGACCCCCCCCGTGTAGCCTTAACAGACTGTCGGGGCAAGTGCTGTTAGCGAGTAGCAGCACCTCTGCAGGCCGGCAGGGCACACGAAGGGGTGGGTGGGCCAGGGCCGCGCCCGCCCGAGACTGATGTGCCCGCTTGCAGACCAAGTACTGAGGGCACCTTGTGCCACACAAGGCCAGCTGCCACTGGGGGTGCCCTACGAATGTGTTGAGGCGCGATGAGGTGCAAGTTGCTTATCGCGCGAGACGCCACGGTGCGAAGGAGGGCACACGGCTCTACCGAACGCAAATTGTCATCATTATTATTCATTACACAAAGTGGTACTCATTTATCGACCCTGGAGGGGTGATGATGATTATGATGGGTTGAGTGAAACCACAACCAGGATTTGAACTCGCGACCTATGCGATTGGGAGCCGCTCGCTCTGCCGCTGAGCCACCTTGGGGTCTCTGAAAGGGAAAACTTTAAATACGTAAAAATATACACATTAATATAAATACGTAAATATACACATTAATATAAATACATAAATATACAGTGAGGGAAAAAAGCATTTGATCCCCTGCAGATTTTGTATGTTTGCCCACTGACAAATAAATTATCAGTCTATAATTTTAATGGTAGGTTTATTTGAACAGTGAGAGACAGAATAACAACAACAAAATCCAGAAAAACGCATGTCAAAAATGTTATAAATTGATTTGCATTTTAATTAGGGAAATAAGTATTTGAACCCCTATCAATCAGAAAGATGTCTGGCTCCCAGGTGTCTTTTATACAGATAACTAGCTGAGATTAGGAGCACACTCTTAAAGGGAGTGCTCCTAATCTCAGCTTGTTACCTGTATAAAAGACACCTGTCCACAGAAGCAATCAATCAGATTCCAAACTCTCCACCATGGCCAAGACCAAAGAACTCTCCAAGGATGTCAGGGACAATATTGTAGACCTAAACAAGGCTGGAATGGGCTACAAGACCATTGCCAAGCAGTTTGGTGAGAAGCTGACAACAGTTGGTGCGATTATTCGCAAATGGAAGAAACACAAAAGAACTGTCAATCTCCCTCGCCCTGGGGCTCCATGCAAGATCTCACCTCGTGGAGTTGCAATGATCATGAGAACGGTGAGGAATCAGCCCAGAACTACACGGGAGGATCTTGTCAATGATGTCAAGGCAGCTGGGACCATAGTCACCCAAGAAAACAATTGATAACACACTACACCGTGAAGGACTGAAATCCTGCAGCGCCCGCAAGGTCCCCTTGCTCAAGAAAGCACATATACATGCCCGTCTGAAGTTTGCCAATGAACATCTGAATGATTCGGAGGACAACTGGGTGAAAGTGTTGTGGTCAGATGAGACCAAAATGGAGCTCTTTGGCATCAACTCAACTCGCTGTGTTTGGAGGAAGAGGAATGCTGCCTATGACCCCAAGAACACCATCCCCACCGTCAAACATGGAGGTGGAAACATTAGGCTTTGGTGGTGTTTTTCTGCTAAGGGGACAGGACAACTTCACCGCATCAAAAGGACGATGGACGGGGCCATGTACCGTCAAATCTTGGGTGAGAATCTCCTTCCCTCAGCCAGGGCATTGAAAATGGGTCGTGGATGGGTATTCCAGCATGACAATGACCCAAAACACACGGCCAAGGCAACAAAGGAGTGGCTCAAGAAGAAGCACATTAAGGTCCTGAAGTGGCCTAGCCAGTCTCCAGACCTTAATCCCATAGAAAATCTGTGGAGGGAGCTGAAGGTTCGAGTTGCCAAACGTCAGCCTCGAAACCTTAATGACTTGGAAAAGATCTGCAAAGAGGAGTGGGACAAAATCCCTCCTGAGTTGTGTGCAAACCTGGTGGCCAACTACAAGAAACGTCTGACCTCTGTGATTGCCAACAAGGGTTTTACCACCAAGTACTAAGTCATGTTTTGCAGAGGGGTCAAATACTTATTTTCCTCATTAAAATGCAAATCAATTTATAAAATTTTTGACATGCGTTTTTCTGGATTTTGTTGTTATTCTGTCTCTCACTGTTCAAATAAACCTACCATTAAAATGATAGGCTGATCGTTTCTTTGTCAGTGGGCAAACGTACAAAATCAGCAAGGGATCAAATACTTGTTTTCCCTCGCTGTACACATTGCTGTTTCTGGCAATGTCCCCCTCTTCATGGGCATGGCGATGGCTAGGAGATGTTAACTCCCTCGCCTGGTATACAGGAGGTCGTGGGTTCGATCCCGACCCTGACACCTGCTGTATTGGAGTTTGCCGTGAGTCTCTCTCCCCGTGGTCGCGTGGATTTCTCTCCGGTTCCTCCGCGTTTTCCCTCCACATTTGAATCAACGTCACACGTTTAGAGTGTGTGGCTGTTGCTATAAATGTGCACGTGACGATGATGAAGATGATGACGATGAATCATTTGCGATAGCCAGGTCGCTTCTGAAAGAGAGCCGCATAGCTCAGTGGGGCCTTACAGCTGGTAAAATAAAAAATAATTGACAGCTTAATAGTTTCATTGCAGAGTGATCACCTTCTCTCTGAGTGGCGCCTCGCTCGCAGCCCTCCTGAGTATCGTCGCCGCCGATTGGCTGATCTTGGCGTCGCTGTCCAATAGGAGCGGCGCGAGGGACGTCATGTTGGCCACCCTCAGGCGCGGAGGGGCGGCCGCGTCCGGCCCGGCGAGACGCTTGAGCCCACGAAGGACCTCGCTGCGGTCGTGCGACTCGAGAGACGCAGCAAGGGACACTGGGAGGGCGGTGGGGGGCAGAGGAAGGAGGAGGAGAGTGGTGGGCGACAGAGCGAGCAAATCACGAGTCCACTGGGTCGTGTCGATGCGCAATTCGATTCAACGTCAGATTATTTTCATCCCTTTCCAGCCAAGTCTCTGTCTATCTCTATGAGTCTCTGTGTATCTCTACGAGTCTCTGTGTATCTATATGAGTCTCTCTGAGTGTCTGTATATCTGTATGAGTCTCTCTGAGTCTCTGTGTATCTGTAGGAGTCTCTCTGAGTGTCTGTGTATCTGTATGAGTCTCTCTGAGTGTCTGTGTATCTGTATGAGTCTCTCTGAGTGTCTGTGTATCTGTATGAGTCTCTCTGAGTCTCTGTCTATCTGTATGAGTCTCTCTGAGTGTCTGTGTATCTGTATGAGTCTCTCCGAGTCTCTGTGTATCTGTATGAGTCTCTCCGAGTCTCTGTGTCTCTGTATGAGTCTCTCTGAGTGTCTGTGTATCTGTATGAGTCTCTCTGAGTGTCTGTGTATCTGTAGGAGTCTCTCTGAGTGTCTGTGTATCTGTATGAGTCTCTCTGAGTGTCTGTGTATCTGTATGAGTCTCTCTGAGTGTCTGTGTATCTGTATGAGTCTCTCTGAGTCTCTGTCTATCTGTATGAGTCTCTCTGAGTGTCTGTGTATCTGTATGAGTCTCTCCGAGTCTCTGTGTATCTGTATGAGTCTCTCCGAGTCTCTGTGTCTCTGTATGAGTCTCTCTGAGTGTCTGTGTATCTGTATGAGTCTCTCTGAGTGTCTGTGTATCTGTACGAGTCTCTCTAAGTCTCTGTGTATCTGTATGAGTCTCTCTGAGTGTCTGTGTATCTGTATGAGTCTCTCTAAGTGTCTGTATCTGTATGAGTCTCTCTGAGTCTCTGTCTATCTGTATGAGTCTCTCTGAGTGTCTGTGTATCTGTATGAGTCTCTCTAAGTGTCTGTGTATCTGTATGAGTCTCTCTGAGTCTCTGTGTATCTGTATGAGTCTCTCCGAGTGTCTGTGTATCTGTATGAGTCTCTCTAAGTGTCTGTGTATCTGTATGAGTCTCTCTGAGTCTCTGTGTATCTGTATGAGTCTCTCCGAGTCTCTGTGTATCTGTATGAGTCTCTCCGAGTCTCTGTGTCTCTGTATGAGTCTCTCTGAGTGTCTGTGTATCTGTATGAGTCTCTCTGAGTGTCTGTGTATCTGTATGAGTCTCTCTAAGTCTCTGTGTATCTGTATGAGTCTCTCTGAGTGTCTGTGTATCTGTATGAGTCTCTCTAAGTGTCTGTGTATCTGTATTAGTCTCTCTAAGTGTCTGTGTATCTGTATGAGTCTCTCTGAGTGTCTGTGTATCTGTATGAGTCTCTCTGAGTGTCTGTGTATCTGTATAAGTCTCTCTGAGTGTCTGTGTATCTGTATGAGTCTCTCTGAGTGTCTATGTATCTGTATGAGTCTCTCTGAGTGTCTGTGTATCTGTATGAGTCTCTCTAAGTGTCTGTGTATCTGTATGAGTCTCTCTGAGTGTCTGTGTATCTGTATGAGTCTCTCTGAGTGTCTATGTATCTGTATGAGTCTCTCTGAGTCTCTGTGTATCTGTATGAATCTCTATGGAGTCTGTGTATCTCTGAGTGTCTGTGTATCTGTATGGGTCTCTCTGAGTCTCTGTGTATCTGTATGAATCTCTATGGAGTCTGTGTATCTCTGAGTGTCTGTGTATCTGTATGAGTCTCTCTGAGTCTCTGTGTCTCTGTATGAGTCTCTCTGAGTGTCTGTGTCTCTGTATGAGTCTCTCTGAGTGTCTGTGTCTCTGTACGAGTCTCTCCGAGTCTCTGTGTCTCTGTATGAGTCTCTCCGAGTCTCTGTGTCTCTGTACGAGTCTCTCTGAGTCTCTGTGTCTCTGTACGAGTCTCTCCGAGTCTCTGTGTCTCTGTACGAGTCTCTCCGAGTCTCTGTGAGTCTCTGTACGAGTCTCTCCGAGTCTCTGTGTCTCTGTACGAGTCTCTCCGAGTCTCTGTGAGTCTCTGTACGAGTCTCTCCGAGTCTCTGTGTGTCTCTGTACGAGTCTCTCCGAGTCTCTGCGTGTGAGTTTCCCGTACCCTCGTGCCCCAGCTGGGTGATGAAGGAGTCCATGGTCCGCACGTCGTGCTGCTGCGCGAGCTCCCCCAGCTGGAACGCGGTGACACGCGCGGGCGCACACGAGCGCAGGCGACGCACGCGGCGGCACAACAGCCGCTCCAGCAGACGCACGCACACTGACAAAGGCAAAGATCCCCCGTGTGGCCTTAAACAGGATGTTCGGGCAAGTGCTGTTAGCGAGTAGCAGCACCAATGAAGGCCGGCAGCGCACACGAAGGGGTGTGGGTGGCCAGCGCCACGCCCGGCAGGCCTGATGTTTTACACACCGCATCGAGTTACTCATTTAAGGCCGAGTTGACCTACGGGAGGCCCAGCACCGGGTTCAGATAATTGCCACCGGTGGTAGTGGCCGTGAGTGGCAATCGAGCGAGCGGCAGGGTAGCGGTTCGCTTGCTCCTGAAAAACAGCTACAAATCTCGGTGGGGCCTTACCCGGTGAAATAAAAAAAAAGTTTAGTAGCTGAAGGTATAGCGTGCGTGTTTGCGCGTCTCCGCACGTGGCAATGGGGAGCGGTGGCGCAGTGGCAAACCCGGCGACCCACGGTCACCCAACGCACGCACGCGTTGGCGGTCTCGCCAACTCGCGCGTGCGTGCGTCTCACCCGCGTCCGTGTGCGCCAGCGTCTCCGAGTAGTCGGACGACACGGTCGCGGTGAGCCGCTCCGCCGTCGCGCACAGCCGCGCTCCCCCGGGCTCGGCGACGCGCTCCCAGAAGCGCAGCAGGCACTCGCGCTCACACAGCTCGGGCACCGCTGCACCGCATCGTGGGGGGGGGGGGGGGGGGCAGCACGGCGGGGGGGGGGGAGGCGGGGGGGGGGGGAAACACGTCACAGGAGGGGAAAAGGAAAGCATCGTGGGATAGGGGGTAGTCATGATGCATTATGAGACAGGGGCAGCTGTAATGGATGATAGGATAGGGGCAGCTGCAGTGCATGATGGGATAGGGGTGGCCACAGTGCATGATGGGATAGGGGTGGCCACAGTCCATGATGGGATAGGGGCGGCTGTAGGGCATGATGGGATAGGGGTGTGACTGCATTGCATGACGGGATAGAGGTGGCTGCAGTGCATGATGGGATAGAGGTGGCCACGGTGCATGATGGGGGATAGGGGCGGCTGTAGGGCATGGTGGGATCGTGGCGGCCGTGCGACGCTGCTAGTCGGTGCGTACCACGTGCGATGCTCAGGATCTGCCCGTCGCACAAGTCTCGCGTGAGCTCCGCGATTCGCCGCAGCACAGCCGCCTGGCCGTGCAGGCGGTCCAGGGCGCACAGCTCCCCGCAGCGCAGGGGCCCAAACGTGCCGAGCTTCTACACGCGGGGTGGACACACGGCAGTATACGTACACACGTGGTGGACACACAGAGGCATGGGCACACTGAACGTTGGGGAAAGTGCTGTTAGTGAGCATCTATGAAGGCCGGAATGGCACACGAAAGGGTGGGTGGCCTGCACCACGGCCGGCCGCCTTTGTCTCCCCAGTGGCGATGTTTACTACACACCGCACCAGGTACTCATTTGAGGCGGAGTCGACCCAGGGGAGGCCCGGGACCGGTTCAGATAACTGTCACTGGAGTTGGCCGTGAGCAGGAATCGAACTCGGGTCATCGGGTTTGTAGCGCAGCGCACTAACCACTACACTACCGCTCTCCACACGCACACACACACAGTCGCGTGCACACACACACACTCGCGTGCACACACACACAGTCCACACAGTCGCGTGCGTGTACACACCATGATGAGGTGGGTGCAGTAATCCGCGTGCAGAGCCAAGGCCACGTCGAGGCCCTCACTGCCGGTGGTCGGGGCGCCAGGGCCGAGCTCCACGCCGTCGTCGGTAGCCTCCTCCTCCTCCGCCTCCTCAGCCTCGCCCTGCCGCCTGTTGTTGACAAAATCATTGATATATACATAAAGTTAGATAGATACGTAAAGCTAGATAGATACATAAAGTTAGATACATAAAGTTAGATAGATAAAGTTAGAGAGATACATAAGGTTAGAGAGATACATAAAGTTAGATATATACGTAACGTTAGATATATACATAACGTTAGATATATACATAAAGTTAGATATATACGTATAGTTAGATATATACATAACGTTAGATATATACATAAAGTTAGATATATAAAGTTAGATAGATAAAGTTAGAGAGATACATAAAGTTAGAGAGATACATAAAGTTAGATATATACGTAACGTTAGATATATACATAACGTTAGATATATACATAAAGTTAGATATATACATAAAGTTAGATATATACATAACGTTAGATATATACATAAAGTTAGATATATAAAGTTAGATAGATACGTAAAGTCCAGGCCCACCACCACATCCGCAATGTTTATCTGCCACGCTCTATACGGACATATGTATGTTGGACTTCTTTCACACCGTACGTAGCCACCCGTGCTAATCGGAGGTGCAGTGTTGAGTCTATGGGTAGTTTTAGTCTATGGGTAGTGTTGAGTCTATGCGTAGTGTTAGTCTATGGGTAGTGTTAGTCTATGGGTAGTGTTGAGTCTATGGGTAGTGTTAGTCTATAGGTAGTGTTTAGTCTATGGGTAGTGTTGAGTCTATGGGCAGTGTTGAGTCTATGGGTGGTGATAGTCTATGGGCAGTGTTAGTCTATTTGTAGTGTTGAGGCTATGTGTAGTGTTGAGTCTATGGGTAGTGTTGAGTCTATGGGCAGTGTTGAGTTTATGGGCAGTGTTGAGTCTATGGGTAGTGTTAGTCTATGGGCAGTGTTAGTCTATGGGTAGTGTTAGTCTATGGGCAGTGTTGAGTCTATGGGTAGTGTTGAGTCTATGGGTAGTGTTAGTCTATGGGTAGTGTTGAGTCTATGGGCAGTGTTAGTCTATGGGTAGTGTTAGTCTATGGGTAGTGTTAGTCTATGGGTAGTGTTGGTCTATGGGTAGTGTTGGTCTATGGGTAGTGTTGGTCTATGGGTAGTGTTGAGTCTATGGGTAGTGTTGGTCTATGAGTAGTGTTGGTCTCTGGGTAGTGTTGAGTCTATGGGTAGTGTTGAGTCTCTGGGTAGTGTTGAGTCCATGTGTAGTGTTAGTCTATGCGTAGTGTTAGTCTATGGGTAGTGTTGAGTCTATGGGTAGTGTTGAGTCTATGGGTAGTGTTGAGTCTATGGGTAGTGTTGGTGTATGGGTAGTGTTGGTCTATGGGTAGTGTTAGTCTATGGGTAGTGTTAGTCTATGTGCAGGATGTATGTTGAACGCCAGCCAAGCAAAGAAGTGAGACAGACGGTTGACAATAACTAAAGAGAGAGAGAAAGCCATTTTTCAACAGATGAGTTTTTCGTCGAGATTTTAAGATTTGAAGAGTGTCTCAGGAGTCCCGCTATTGCAAAGGCACCGTCGTCACCCCACGTGCGAAGCCTTCGAGGCTGTGGGACAGCGAGCAATGCACACTCTGAGGATCGTAACGATCTTGCTGGAATATTACGTGGCTGAAGGAGGAAGCGAGTCCATTTAAAGGCCCTTAAAATGCCAGCGAGAGAATCTTAAAATCGATAGCATGGGTACGGACAGTGAGCCAGTGAAGGGACAGCAGGAAGGGTGTGTGACGTGATCCTTCAAGGGTTGTGTACCAGTCAGCACCCTGCCGGGCGCACTGTGAACATACTGCAGCCTATTCTTAGCTCTTTCGGTAACAACGTGACTTTACCGAAAGAGCTGAGAATATGAAAGCTTTAAATCAAAATTTATACTGCAGCCTGTTTAGGAGCTCGCTCGGTGTTCCAAAACGCAGGGCATTGCAGCAGCCGATGCGCGAGAAAAACAAATGTTGCGGATCAGCCTTTCAGCGTCCGCGGCGTTCCGGATGTCGACGGAGCCGTGAACTCACTTGCCGTCCGACTCCACAGCCTCAGGGCGGCGCGTCTCCCCCTCCTCCTCCTCCCCATCCTGCCGCTCCGCCTCCTCCTCGTCCTGCTCCACCTCCTCGTCGTCCAGGTCGGGCGAGTGGAGGAAGTTGAAACTCTCCAGGGCGTGCTCCACCGAGAGGCTGACGCTGGACGCGCGACTCCGCGACGTCTTCCCGCCCGGCTGCATCGCGGCCCCGTGGCGGGCGAGAGCGGCAAACGGCGTCAAACGGCGGGGCTCAACGAAGCGGCCTCGCCGCCACCACGTGGACACTTGTGGCGGCGGCGGCCAATTACTCCAAACGCGCGGACGACGATGTCAGACGCGGAGGGGGAAAGACCGGAGGAGCCGGCGAGACCCCCCGTAGCAGAGCTGTCAACCCACGCCGTTTACCACGCATTCTTGTACAGGGGGGATTGACCGCGTATTCTTGGGGGGTTGACCACGCAGTCTCGTACGGGGAAATTTAGTTTACGGGTCCATACGGCGTACAGCCGTTTCAATAGGGGCAGCCACAATTATTAAAATGTGTTGTGTCTATTTGTTTGTGTTTCTCCCTTGTGATGGGACTTTGTAGAGATCTGAATTGGTGTGTAATAAGGGAATGGCACTGACAAGGGGTTGACAGCTATGGGATTGGATAGAGCCACGAGGCAACGTCACCCCCCCCTCCACTCCCCCCACTGATGGACTACCGCAGCTGCGTGTCCGTGACGCGTAGCGGCGGTGACATCCCCTTCACGAGACCCCCCCGGGGGGGTGGGGGGGGGTCGGCAAACACGCGGCTACCGGAGCCGCGTGCGGTGGCTCTGTGACGTGCGGTGGTGCCTCCCGAAACAAAAAATGTCTCTTGTTAGCTTGGTTGCCGACCCCTAACTACGGAAGTCGTCCAGTTTACCATGGGAGTCCAGTTTACCATGGGAGTCCAGTTTACCATGGGAGTCCAGTTTACCATGGGAGTCCAGTTTACCATGGGAGTCCAGTTTACCATGGAGTCCAGTTTACCATGGGAGTCCAGTTTACCATGGACAAGGATCGGCAACCTGCTGCTCCGTGACCGTTATCTATTAAGGGACCGTCACAATCTCATTAATCACCACCGCGGTGCGGCACCAACCCCCCCCCCCGCCAGCCGCCGCACTACCCACGCGTACCTCGCGATGCACCGGAACCGCAAGCGCACCAACCTGCAGAATCCGATCCAGGTCGGCAACCTCCTGCTCCAGCAGCTGCAGCTCCGCGTAGCGGCCCCTGCAGTCGTCCAGCGCCGAGCACAGCGCCCGCCAGGCCCGCTCGAGGCCCGGACCTCCCAGCCGCTCCCCCGAATCCTCCCCCGCGCTCGCCGCCCCCCGCTCGGGCGAGGGGGCGGGCGAGGGGGCGGGCGAGGGGGCGGGCGAGGGGGCGGGCGAGGGGGCGGGCCTGACCTGCTCGGCCGGGCCCGAGGTTTCTTTGGTTCGGGCGGTGACCCCGGGGGGGGACGCGGCGCCATCGCCCGCGGCCGCCGTCTCGTCTCGGCGGGAATCTTCGGCGCCGTTCGAGTCGTCGTCGTCGTCGCCGCACGGCACGACCGCGGCGTTGAAGAAATGCACGACGTCCTTTGATTTGTCGGTGAAGAAAATCTCGCTGGCGCTGGCGCTCAGCGGCAGGCCGTCCTTGCCCGGCCTGGGCTCGCGGCCCAACGCTCCGTCGCCGCGCGCCGGCGAGCGTTTCGGCGAGGAGGAGCTCCCGCCGGCCGCGACGTCGCCCGTGCCGGCGTCCTCGGTCGCGGCTTCCGCTCCGCGGCCCGAGGCGACCGCCGGTTCCGCCGGGGCGACCGCCGGTTCCGCGTCCTCCCGCGGACCGTCGCTTCCCCCGGCTCCTAAAGCCTCGGCCGCCTCCTCCGCCGCTCCTCCCTCGGCCGGCCAACCCTCGCGGTCTCCCGCAGCCACCGCAACCGCCGCGGCCTCGCCGACACTTCCCCCCGCTCCGCCGCGCTCTTCCAGCGAGTCCACGCTCCCCTCGCTGATCTGGCTGAGCGCACGGCCGTACGCCAGGACGCCGTTGCTCACGACCGGCTTCGTCGCACGCTCCGTCTCGTCCGGCGGCGGCGGCGAGCCTTCGGCGCGGGGCGGCCCGCGAGGCTCCGGCTCGCCGTTCTCCACCCGCCGCTCGCTCGGGGGCGGAACGTCAGCGGCGGCGGCGGCGGTGGCAGAGGACGGGGTTTCCGGCTCGCGTCCGGAACCGAGACCCGGGGCTTCGTACTCCGGGATCGGGAGTTGGTACTCCGGGATCGGACGCCGTCGGCTGCCGGCGCCGGCGTCGAGCGGAGTCCGGGGACTCACGGAGCCGTCCATGGAGTCCGACGAGAGCGAGGAGGTGGCTCCGTTCTCCAGCTCGTCGTGACGACGCAGCATGTTCTGCGAGCGAACGGAAACATACGGAGCGAATTAGCGGGCAGAGCCACGTAAACGACGATTTGAATGCCGGCCACTGCGGAAGGAGAGCGTGGGGCGAGGGGGGGGGGTGGAGGGGAACGTCGATTACAATCGCAACAGCGTCGTCGTGACGAGCCCATCACCAAATCACGCGGCCTGCGCCCGACCTGGCCTGTGAGCCACCCGACCACAGACCTGGCGCCGAGTTACGTCGCAAAGTGCCGCACTCATGCCGCCGGGACCTCGGGCCCAGGGGTCAAGAACCAGGCCTGCATTTGCCCGCGATGTTGCCCTACGTTGGTGGCTGAAGTTGTGGCAGGCGTTGTTGCCGGATGTATGCGCGGTGGAGCGTAGCGGTGGAGCGTTGCGGTGGAACGTAGCGGTGGGGCGTTGCGGTGGAGCGTTGCGGTGGGGCGTAGCGGTGGAGCGTTGCGGTGGGGCGTAGCGGTGGAGCGTAGCGGTGGAGCGTAGCGGTGGAGCGTTGCGGTGGAGCGTAGCGGTGAAGCGTAGCGGAGCGTAGCGGTGGAGCGTAGCGGTGAAGCGTAGCAGTGTAGTGTAGCTGTGAAGCGTAGCTGTGAAGCATAGCGGTGGAGCGTAGCGGTGGGGCGTAGCGGTGAAGCGTAGCGGTGGAGCGTTGCGGTGAAGCGTAGCGGTGGAACGTAGCGGTGGAGCATAGCGGTGGAACGTAGCGGTGGAGCGTAGCGGTGGAGCGTAGCGGTGGAACGCAGCGGTGGAGCGTAGCGGTGGAGCGTAGCTGTGAAACGTAGCGGTGGGGCGTAGCGGTGGAGCGTAGCGGTGGAGCGTAGCGGTGGAGCGTAGCTGTGAAACGTAGCGGTGGGGCGTAGCGGTGGAGCGTAGCGGTGGAGCGTAGCGGTGGGGCGTAGCGGTGGAGCGTAGCGGTGTAGCGTAGCGGTGTAACGCCGTGTACTCACGTAGAAGGCCTGTTCGCGTAGCGACGGTGTGTCAGGCGGGCTCTGGCTGTACAGCGACAGCCTCTTGCTGGCGGCAGACATCTTGCCGATGGTGCCCGGAGTCATGGCCTGGTCCTCCTTGTCAAATGGACTGTGCATGGGAGGGGCGGGGGGGGGGCGTTATAGGGGGTGGGGACACGGGTCACGGGAATCCGATCCTGAATCCCGATCTCCTGGAACCGAATCTCAAGACTCCGATCCTGAATCCCGATCTTCTGGAGCCGAGTCTCAAGACTCCGATCCTGAATCCCGATCCCCTGGAGCCGAGTCTCAAGACTCCGATCCTGAATCCCGATCTCCTACAACCAAATCTCAGGACTCCGATCCTGAATCCCGATCCCCTGGAGCCGAGTCTCAAGACTCCGATCCTGAATCCCGATCTCCTAGAGCTCACCTCCAGGTGACCTCCAGGTTGAGTTTGATGGTTCCCAGGTCATTGATGTCGACCGCTACGAGCTGGGGCCCCACGGCGAGCAGGTCCCGCGTCTCGCACACGACGCTGCCCACCACCACGTGAGTGGCCAGGCTCTTGACCTCCGTCACCTGGGGGCGACAAGGGTGGAGGAGCAACGGTCGCAGCGATGACGTTGACAAACCACACAAGCCTCTGGCGGGGGTCCTGTCAACCCACGTTATGACCGCGGAGGGTCGTGGCGACGATGACGCTGCTACTACTGACGATGACGACGATGATATCGCCGCTGCTGCTACTGCTGATGCTGATGACAGTGCTGCTACTGATGATGATGCTGATAGCGCTGCTGATGATAATAGTGCTGCTGCTGCTGATGATGATGGTGATAATGATGAAAGCACTTATACCGATGCTGCTCCTAAAGAAGTTACTGCTGATGATGATGATGAGACTGTTGCTGCTGCTGAAGATGATGCTGCTGCTGTTAGTGCTGCTGCTGTTAGTTCTGCTGAGACTGTTGCTACTGCTGATGAGGCTGCTGCTGATGATGCTGCTGCTGTTAGTGCTGCTGATGATGGTGCTGATGAGACTATTGCTACTGCTGATGAGGCTGCTGCTGCTGATGATGCTGCTGCTTTTAGTGCTGATGATGGTGCTGATGAGACTATTGCTGCTGCTGATGATGAGGCTGCTGCTGATGATGTTGCTGCAGTGCAGCGCGTCACCTTGATTTGGAGCAAGTCGGAAATCAGAGGCACCAGCAGCGTCTCCTCGCTGTCCCAGCTCTGCTTGTCATCCGAGTCGATGCGCCCACGGAGCCTCCAGCGTTGGCGCCCATAGCGCATGAAGATCTGGAACACGAGACAAAGATTCCCCCCACCCCGTGTAGCCTTAACAGACTGTAGGGGCAAGTGCTGTTAGCGAGTAGCAGCGCCTACGAAGGCCGGCACGGCGCACGAGGGGGTGGGTGGCCAGCGCCACGCCCGGCCGCCTTTGTCTCCCCGTGGCAATGTTTACTACACACCACACCAGGTACTCATTTGAGGCCGAGTCGACCTATGGGAGGGCCCAGGACCGGTTCAGATAATCGTCACCGGTGTTGGTGGCTGCGAGCGGGAATCGAACTTGGGTGGCCGGGTTCGTAGCGCAGCGTAGCGCTAACCGCTGCGCCTACCGCTACCCATACCACGTACGACACACATACACACGCACACGATAAACTGAAACTAAACCACCCTTTTCCCACCTGATGATGGACGCTTGTGTTGCACCCGAAACGTCGTGATTTATTTTATTTTATACCTACGTGACTTTACCGAAAGAACCAAAGAGTATGAAACTAAACTATTTTAATTTGACCCGGTAAGGCCTCACCGAGCTATAAAGCTATTTTCAGAAGTGCCCTCGCCACAAATGATAGCCCAACAAAGTGGCCGCTTAGCATCATCATCATCACGTGGACATTTATAGCAGCAGCCAAAGACTCTAAATGCGTGATGTTGATTCTAAATGTGGAGGGAAAAACCGGAGAAAAATAATACACGACCACAAGCAGAGAGAGACACAAACTCCAAATATACAGCAGCAGGCATCAGGGTGGGGATCGAACCCACGACCTCCTGTATACCAGGCGAGGTAGTTAACATCTCCTAGCCACAGTGATGTTGATGATGAGAGAGAGACAAGCAAACTCCAAATACACAGCAGAAGGGTCGGGATCGAACCCACGACCTCCTGCACCCCAGGCGAGGTAGTCAACATCTCCTAGCCACCGTGATGTTGATGATGAGACAGAGAGAGACACGCAAACTCCAAATATACAGCAGGCGTTAGGGTCGGGATCGAACCCACGACCTCCTGCACACCAGGCGAGATAGTTAACAGCTCTTAGCCACCGTGGCACCCTCATTCTCACAAGCAGCATCACCAGCACGTACTACGTCGTTTATTATTTGCGCATATTCATTACTTTATTATTATCATCATTGTGCGTGTTTCTTTCGTGACTGCAGGAATTCAACATATCTACGTCACTTTGCCGAAATACCCAGAGAATATTGTGCTTGTTTGCCTACAGAGGTCTCACCGAGTCTCAAGACTCTGTTATCAGGAGGGTCCTGCCAAGTTTTCGCAGGAGTAGTAGCGCCACGATGCCGCCGCCGCCGCTGCTGCTGCGATCCCAACCGAGTCATTTGTTGACAACGTTTGCACTTTTGCGATGTTTTGGCCCGAGAGCGGTGGCACTGTGCCTGCGCGTGAGTGCCTACGTGTGTGTGTGCGTGTGTTTGTGTGTGCGCGCGTGTTTGTGTGCGTGCGTGCCTACGTGTGTGTGCGTGTGTGTGCCTGCGTGTGTGCCTGCGTGTGTGCCTGCGTGTGTGCCTACGTGTGTGCCTGTGTGTGTGCATGCGTGTGTGCCTGCGTGTTTGTGTGCCTGCGTGTGTAAATGGCGGTGTAAAAATGTCGCTGCACCGGCGAAATTTTGTTTTGGTTAATCCCAGCTCCACGATGGGAGGCGGCAAACCCGGAGAACTCCCCCATGCAGGGGCGGGAGGGCGGGGAGAACCAGGACAACAAGCGGAACGGTAACAGCGGTGATGACGATGACGACGGTGATGACGGTGATGACGGTGATGACGGTGACGATGATGACGATGGTGATGACGGTGACGACGACGGTGATGACGGTGACGACGACGATGATGACGGTGACGATGACGACGATGACGATGGTGATGACGGTGACGATGACGACAGTGATGACGACGGTGATGACGACGGTGATGACGATGGTGATGACGATGGTGATGACGGTGACAACGACGACGATGATGACGGTGATGGCGATGGTGATGACGACGGTGATGACGACGGTGATGACGATGGTGATGACGACGATGACGATAGTGATGACGGTGATGACGGTGATGACGATGGTGATGACGGTGATGACGATGGTGATGACGACGATGACGACAATGACGGTGATGACGGTGATGACGGTGATGACGACGACGATGACGACGGTGATGACGGTGACGACGACGGTGACGACGATGACGACGGTGATGACGACGGTGATGACGACGGTGATGACGACGGTGATGACGATGGTGATGACGACGGTGATGACGACGGTGATGACGGTGACGATGATGACGGTGATGGCGATGGTGATGACGACGGTGATGACGACGATGATGACGACGCTCACCTCGTACTGATCTCCGGGGCAGAGGCGCGCAAACCCGGCCAATCCTGGAGACAAAAGAAGCGGCGTAGGGTCAACATCGTCACGACGAACACAAAGAACCCCCCCCCCCTCCCCCCCGTGGAGCCCTAACAGACTGTTGGGGCAAGTGTTGCGAGCGAACGCCTATGAAGGCCGGCACGGCGCTCGCCTGATCGCCTGTGCTGCAGAGTGAGTGCGACCGTGTGGGGAGCGGTGGTGCAGCGGTTAGCGCTACGCTGCATAACGAGCTCGGTGACCCGGGGTAGATTCCCGATCACGGCCACCACCGGTGACGATCATCTGAACCGGTCCTGGGCCTCACCTAAGTCGACTCAGCCTTAAATGAGTGCCTGGTGCGGTGTGTAAAAACATCGCCACTGGGGAGACAAAGGCGGCCGGGCGTGGTGATGGCCACCCACCCCCTCGTGTGCCGTGCCGGCCTTCACAGGTGCTGCTCGCTAGCAGCACTTGCCCCAACTGTCTGTTACAGGCTACACGGGGGACCTTTGTTAGCGAGTGTGAGCGTGAATCGTCCTCCGGATTCTTCCACATTTGCCTGCCTGCCGCCCCTACCCTCACCCCGCTCCACATTGAGAATGAAGGCGCGTTCACGTTATCTGTCTGCTGCTGTAAATTCCCGCGTGTGGCGACGACAACACCACGGCGAGGATGACGACGACATCAGCCGCCACAATTGATGGGTGGGGCGAGGTCGCGCCTGAACAACGTCTCTCGTCGCTGGTGACTAACAAAGCAGTTTTGGTTGAATCTGCTCGACCCCCCTCCGACTCTTGGCACTAAAGCCAGGCCTCGAGTCCGGGACGTCACCGTCTCCGACACGGCCGCGACGCACCCTGTCGGACAGAGGCACGGACAGAGGCACGGACAGAGGCACGGACAAGAGCAGTGGCGGGGGCGGGGGAAGCAGCTGCGTGTGGGACTCACCCTTCATGCGCATGTGAAATTCCCCCAGGAGGTTCTCCATGTCGTTCTCAATCACGCACAGGCTCTGCGTGTGCGTGTGTGCGTGTGAGTGCGCGAGTATGTGTGTGAGTGAGTGCGTGTGTGCACATTAGCGTGTGCGTGTGTAAATACGCGCGTGTGTGCAGGTGAGCGTGCGTGCGTGTGTGCGCGCACATGGGCGTGTGGAGACACAAACACCTTCTATAAAGACACAAACACCTTCTATAAAGACACAAACACCTTCTATAAAGACACAAACACCTTCTATAAAGACACAAACACCTTCCATAAAGACACAAACACCTTCTATAAATACACAAACACCTTCTATAAAGACAAAAACTCCTTCTATAAAGACACAAACACCTTCTATAAATACACAAACACCTTCTATAAAGACACAAACACCTTCTATAAAGACACAAACACCTTCTATAAAGACACAAACACCTTCTATAAAGACACAAACACCTTCTATAAATACACAAACACCTTCTATAAAGACACAAACACCTTCTATAAAGACACAAACACCTTCTATAAAGACACAAACACCTTCTATAAAGACACAAACACCTTCTATAAAGACACAAACACCTTCTATAAAGACACAAACACCTTCTATAAAGACACAACCACCTTCTATAAAGACACAAACACCTTCTATAAAGACACAAACACCTTCTATAAAGACACAAACACCCTCTATAAAGACACAAACACCTTCTATAAAGACACAAACACCTTCTATAAAGACACAAACACCTTCTATAAAGACACAAACACCTTCTATAAAGACACAAACACCTTCTATAAAGACACAAACACCTTCTATAAAGACACAAACACCTTCTATAAAGACACAAACACCTTCTATAAAGACACAACCACCTTCTATAAAGACACAAACACCTTCTATAAAGACACAAACACCTTCTATAAAGACACAAACACCCTCTATAAAGACACAAACACCTTCTATAAAGACACAAACACCTTCTATAAAGACACAAACACCTTCTATAAAGACACAAACACCTTCTATAAAGACACAAACACCTTCTATAAAGACACAAACACCTTCTATAAAGACACAAACACCTTCTATAAAGACACAAACACCTTCTATAAAGACACAACCACCTTCTATAAAGACACAAACACCTTCTATAAAGACACAAACACCTTCTATAAAGACACAAACACCCTCTATAAAGACACAAACACCTTCTATAAAGACACAAACACCTTCTATAAATACACAAACACCTTCTATAAATACACAAACACCTTCTATAAAGACACAAACACCTTCTATAAAGACACAAACACCTTCTATAAAGACACAAACACTTTCTATAAAGACACAAACACCTTCTATAAAGACACAAACACCTTCTATAAAGACACAAACACCTTCTATAAAGACACATACACCTTCTATAAATACACAAACACCTTCTATAAAGACACAAACACCTTCTATAAAGACACAAACACCTTCTATAAAGACACAAACACCTTCTATAAAGACACAAACACCTTCTATAAAGACACAAACACCTTCTATAAAGACACAAACACCTTCTATAAAGACACAAACACCTTCTATAAAGACACAAACACCTTCTATAAAGACACAAACACCTTCTATAAAGACACAAACACCTTCTATAAAGACACAAACACCTTCTATAAAGACACAAACACCTTCTATAAAGACACAAACACCTTCTATAAAGACACAAACACCTTCTATAAAGACACAAACACCTTCTATAAAGACACAAACACCTTCTATAAAGACACAAACACCTTCTATAAAGACACATACACCTTCTATAAAGACACAAACACCTTCTATAAAGACACAAACACCTTCTATAAAGACACAAACACCTTCTATAAAGACACAAACACCTTCTATAAAGACACAAACACCTTCTATAAAGACACAAACACCTTCTATAAAGACACAAACACCTTCTATAAAGACACAAACACCTTCTATAAAGACACAAACACCTTCTATAAAGACACAAACACCTTCTATAAAGACACAAACACCTTCTATAAATACACAAACACCTTCTATAAATACACAAACACCTTCTATAAATACACAAACACCTTCTATAAATACACAAACACCTTCTATAAAGACACAAACACCTTTTATAAATACACAAACACCTTCTATAAATACACAAACACCTTCTATAAATACACAAACACCTTCTATAAATACACAAACACCTTCTATAAAGACACAAACACCTTTTATAAAGACACAAACACCTTCTATAAATACACAAACACCTTCTATAAATACACAACCACCTTCTATAAAGACACAAACACCTTCTATAAAGACACAAACACCTTTTATAAATACACAAACACCTTCTATAAATACACAAACACCTTCTATAAATACACAAACACCTTCTATAAATACACAAACACCTTCTATAAAGACACAAACACCTTCTATAAATACACAAACACCTTCTATAAAGACACAAACACCTTCTATAAATACACAAACACCTTCTATAAATACACAAACACCTTCTATAAATACACAAACACCTTCTATAAAGACACAAACACCTTCTATAAATACACAAACACCTTCTATAAATACACAAACACCTTCTATAAAGACACAAACACCTTCTATAAAGACACAAACACCTTCTATAAAGACACAAACACCTTCTATAAAGACACAAACACCTTCTATAAAGACACAAACACCTTCTATAAATACACAAACACCTTCTATAAATACACAAACACCTTCTATAAATACACAAACACCTTCTATAAAGACACAAACACCTTCTATAAAGACACAAACACCTTCTATAAATTCACAACTTCGCGAGTCGCGTCTGAGGAGGTTCGGGAACGGCGTCACGAACCCGGCGACCTGCGTTCAATCAGCTCACAAGTCGACACAGCTCCGTGTGTGTGTGTCCGTGTGTGTGTGTCCGTGTGTGTGTGTCCGTGTGCGTGTGTCCGTGTGCGTGTGTCCGTGTGCGTGTGTCCGTGTGCGTGTGTCCGTGTGCGTGTGTCCGTGTGTGTCCGTGTGTGTGTGCGTGTGTGTCCGTGTGTGTCCGTGTGTGTCCGTGGGGGGAGCGGCGGTGCAGCGGTTAGCGCGCTACGAACCCGCCGACCGATTTCAAACTCGCAGCCAACATCACCGGGCGGTCCTGGGCAGCCCCTAGGTCGACTCAGCCTCAAATGAGTACCTGGTGCGGTGTGTAAAATCATCGCCACCGGGGAGACAAAGGCGGTCGGGCGTGCTGTTTGCCACCCACCCCCTCGTGTGCCACAGTGCCGGTCTACATAGGTGCTACTCGCTAACAGCACTTGCCCCGACAGTCTAAGGCTATACGGGGTATCTTTGTCTTTGTCAGCAGGAACGGTGACATCTCGAGCAAGGGCACACGTGTTTGTGTGTGTACGTACGGGCAAGGGCACACGTGTTTGTGTGTGTACGTACGGGCAAGGGCACACGTGTTTGTGTGTATACGTACGTTGGACTTCTTTTGCACCGTACGTAGCCAACCGTCATATTAAACTTAAACTAGTTTATTTTTTATTTTACCAGGTAAGGCCCCGCTGAGCAGCGTAGCTCTTTCTCAGAAGCAACCTGGTGATGATAGCTCAACGAAAGTGGCTTATCATCATGTTGTGGAAACTTCGAATCGCGTGACGTCGCTTAGACATGTGGAGGGGAAAACCGGAAGACCACGTGACCACGGGGAGAGACACGCAAACTCCAAATATATAGCAGCAGGCGTCAGGGTCGGGATTGAACCCACGACCTCCTCCTGTACACCATCTCCTAGCCACTGTGGTGCTAGTCGGAGGTGCAGATTCATAGCACGTGAATCAGTCGCGTGCTATGCAAAAAATCACTCGTGCAAATTTGAACAGAAAAATCACAAATCTGGGTCTTTTCACTTTGTAAGGCCACACGGTGTAGGGTGTTGCTGGACGTGGTCGAGTTGTTCTCTTTCACACCACTGCCAACGCAGCAGCAGACTCACCGGATCACGTGCTCACTGGTCGTGACTCACACCGGAGGCAAGCGTCGCGTGTCTGCGTGTCCGTGTGCGCGAGCGTTTGTGTGTCCACGTGCCCCTGTGTCTATGACCATCTGCGTCAATCTCCTTGCGTCCACGTGTTTTTCCATCTCCGCGCATCAGAGCGTCGGTGCGTCCCCGCGTGTCTCTGCGTCCGCGTCTGTGCCCGCACCTCCGTGTACTCGCGGTGACCCCGGGTGACCTCCTGCAGGGTGTCCCGAGCCTCCCTGCTGCCGGGCGACGTCTCGTACGCGGCCATCATCCGGCGCGCGCCGTCCCGCAGCCTGCGCTGGATCCCGTACGTCTCGTACAGCTCCTCCACCTGCACACACAGGCCCAGCACGGTGCAGGAGGTCGTGGGTTCGAGCCCAACCCCGACGCCTGCTGCTGCTGCTGTATATTTGGAGTTTGTGGTGTCTCTCTCCCCGTGATCGCATGGATTTTCCTCCAGGTCCTGATGATAACGATGATGATGACGATGATGACGATGATGACGATGATGATGCCACTTCGTAGAGCTATAATTTGTGGCCAAGTCGCTTCTGAAAAAGAGCTGTGTAGCTCAGCCGGGCATTAGTAAAAATAATATTTAACACCTTTTGTCGTCGGGTTCGCAGCGCGGTGCGCCGACCGCTGCTCCCCCAGACGCCAAACCGACAGCGCACGCGCACACACACGCACACACACACACGCACGCACACACGCACACACGCACACACACGCACGCACACATGCACGCAGGCACACACACGCACGCACGCAGGCACACACGCACACGCACACACACGCATGCACACACGCACGCACACGCACGCAGGCACACACGCACACACACACACGCACGCACACACACGCATGCACACACGCACGCACACACACGCACGCACACACGCACACACATGCACACAGGCACACACGAAATGCACGCATGCGCACACACGCTCGCTCCAACGTTACCTTGCTGACGTGGAACTCGAGTCTCCGGATGAATCGCTCCGTCGACTTGATTTGCTGGAGAGGAATCACAAAGGAGACGGGATGACAATGGCGATGACGATGATGATGATGATGACGATGATGATGATGATGACGATGATGATGATGACGACCGCCTGACAGCAGCAGTGGCAGCAGACAACTGTGGACCGGCTTTGTCCTCATTGGGACTCGTCAGCACGGTACAGGAGCCGGTGCTCGCTGCTGCAGAGTCTGCAATGAGTGTGTGTGTGATCTGTGTTTGTGTAATCTGTGTGTATGTGTGTGTAGTGTGTGTGTGTAGTGTGTTTGTGTGTGTGTGTGGTGTGTGTGTGTAGTGTGTCTGTGTAGTGTGTGTGTGATCTGTGTTTGTGTAATCTGTGTGTATGTGTGTGTAGTGTGTGTGTGTAGTGTGTTTGTGTGTGTGTGTGGTGTGTGTGTGTAGTGTGTCTGTGTGTGTAGTGTGGTGTGTGTGTAGTGTGTTTGTGTGTGTGGTGTGTGTGTGTAGTGTGTCTGTGTGTGTAGTGTGGTGTGTGTGTAGTGTGTGTGTAGTGTGTTTGTGTGTGTGGTGTGTGTGTGTAGTGTGTCTGTGTGTGTGTGGTGTGTGTGTGTAGTGTGTGTGTGTAGTGTGTGTGTGTCTGTAGTATGTTTGTGTGTGTGTGGTGTGTGTGTGTGTAGTGTGCGTAGTGTGTCTGTGTGTGTAGTATGTTTGTGTAGTGTCTGTGTGTGTGTGGTGTGTGTGTGTAGTGTGTCTGTGTGTGTGTGGTGTGTGTGTGTAGTGTGTGTGTGTAGTGTGTGTGTGTGTGTAGTAGTATGTTTGTGTGTGTGTGGTGTGTGTGTGTGTAGTGTGCGTAGTGTGTCTGTGTGTGTAGTATGTTTGTGTAGTGTCTGTGTGGTGTGTGTGTGTGTAGTATGTCTGTGTGTGTGTAGTGTGTCTGTGTAGTGTGTGTGATCTGTGTTTGTGTAATCTGTGTGTATGTGTGTGTAGTGTGTTTGTGTGTGTGTGTAGTATGTCTGTGTGTGTAGTGTGGTGTGTGTGTGTAGTGTGTGTGTAGTGTGTAGTGTGTGTGTAGTGTGTCTGTGTGTGTAGTGTGGTGTGTGTAGTGTGTGTGTAGTGTGTCTGTGTGTGTAGTATGTTTGTGTGGTATGTCTGTGTGTGTAGTGTGTGTGTGTAGTGTGTCTGTGTAGTGTGTGTGATCTGTGCTTGTGTAATCTGTGTGTATGTGTGTGTCGTGTGTGTGTATGTGTGTATAGTGTGTAGTGTGTTTGTGTGTGTGTGGTGTGTGTGTAGTGTGTGTGTAGTGTGTCTGTGTAGTGTGTGTGATCTGTGTTTGTGTAATCTGTGTGTATGTGTGTGTAATCTGTGTGTGTAGTATGTGTGTGTGTAGTGTAGTGTGTGTAGTGTGTCTGTGTGTGTGTGGTGTGTGTAGTGTGTCTGTGTGTGTAGTATGTTTGTGTAGTGTGTCTATGTGTGTGGTGTGTCTGTGTGTGTGTAGTGTGTGTCTGTGTGTGTGTAGTGTGTTTGTGTGTGTGTCGTGTGTCTGTGTGTGTGTAATGTGTGTGTGTGGTGTGTGTGTAGTGTGTGTGTGTAGTGTGTCTGTGTGTGTGTCTGTGTGTGTGTCGTGTGTGTCTGTCGTGTGTGTAGTGTGTGTGTAGTGTGTGTCTGTGTGTGTAGTGTGTGTCTGTGTGTGTGTAGTGTGTTTGTGTGTGTAGTATGTTTGTGTAGTGTGTCTGTGTGTGTGGTGTGTCTGTGTGTGTGTAGTGTGTCTGTGTGTGTGTCGTGTGTCTATGTGTGTAGTGTGTCTGTGTGTGTGTAGTGTGTGTGTGTCGTGTGTCTGTGTGTGTGTAGTGTGTGTGTGTAGTGTGTCTGTGTGTGTGTCGTGTGTGTAGTGTGTCTGTGTTTGTGCTGGGTACACAACACTCATCGCACCTTGTCCAGGTCGTACACGAAGCCCTGACGAGGTAGGTGACGACGATGAGGAGGCGACGACGAGGTGACGACGACGAGGGCACAAGAGGGGATGGGAGAGAGACGTGGGTAGGAGAGATATGGGGAGAGGAGGTATGGGAAGGAGGGGGAAAGAGGTGTGCGGAGAGAGGTGGGCACAGAAGAGAAACGATGAGGTGGGACGAGGTGCACGATAGGGCATCATCAGCATCAGCAGCAGCATAAACATCAGCATCATCATCAGCATCATCAGCATCTAGCATCACCACGACTACCGCATTCTCCGGATTAACCAATCATTTTCCTGCCATCAGTAAAGTTACACAAATCTGATCACTCACACTCACACACACCACACACCACACACACCACACACACACACCACACACACACACACACCACACACACACACACCACACACACACCACACACACACCACACACACACCACACACACACCACACACCACACACACACCACACACCACACACACACACCACACACACACACCACACACACACACCACACACACACACCACACACGCTGCTACCAGACTGTAAAAACGCTCCCCCAATTTTCAAATACGAGGGAACAGTGGTGCATCGTATGGTCTAGAGAACACGGTAATACCATCACCCACGTGTTCATCGTCGTCACCACCATCACCACCCACGTGTTCATCATCGTCAAATACCACTAGCGTGTTCATCATCATCATCATTACAATCACCACCACCGTGTTCATCACCATCATTACAATCACCACCACCGTGTTTACCATCATCATTACAATCACCACCACTGTGTTCATCACCATCACCACCATCACCACCACCATGTTCATCATCATCATTACAATCACCACCACTGTGTTCATCACCGTCACCACCATCACCATCACTGTGTTCATCATTGTCACCACCACCACTGTGTTCATCATCGTCACCACAATCACCACCACCGTGTCCATCATCATCATTACAATCACCACCACTGTGTTCATCACCGTCACCACCATCACCATCACTGTGTTCATCATTGTCACCACCACCACTGTGTTCATCATCGTCACCACAATCACCACCACCGTGTCCATCATCGTCACCACCACCACCGTGTTCATCATCATCATCACAATCACCACCACCGTGTCCATCATCGTCACCACCACCACCGTGTTCATCATCATCACAATCATCACCACCGTGTTCATCATCGTCACCACCACTAGCGTGTTCATCATCATCATCATCACAATCACCACCGCTGTGTTCATCACTGTCACCACCAACACCGTGTTCATCATCATCATCATCACAATCATCACCACCATGTTCATCACCGTCACCACCACTATCATGTTCATCATAATCATCACAATCACCATGTTCATCATCATCACAATCACCGTGTTCATCATCATCATCACAATCACCACCACCAAGTTCATAATCGTCAGCATCACCACCACCACTCACCAGCCGCGAGTTGCGTTTCATTTCCTTCTGTTGGATGGTCATCGATTCCAGTTCAGTATGATGAGCCTGCAGAAACTCACTAACTCACACACACACACACACCACATACACACACCACACACACGCCACACACACACACCACACACACACACGCCACACACACACGCCACACACACCACATACACACCACACACACATCACATACACACCACATACAAAGCTCCCCCCATATAGCCTTAACAGACTGTTGGGGCAAGTGCTGTTAGCGAGCAGCACCTATGGAGGCCGGCACGGCACGTGACGGGGTGGGTGGCCAGCACCACGCCGGCCGCCTTTGTCTCCCCAGTTGTTTACAGACCGTACCAAGTACTCATTTATGGCTGAGTCGACCTAGGGGAGGGCCCAGGACTGATCCAGATATTGGTCACCGACGTTGGCCGTTGAGCGAGAATGGAACTCGGGCCGCCGGGATTTATACATGCAGCAGCAGCGGCAACGGAGACGTGTAATCTGTGTGTGTGTAGTGTGTGTGATGTGTGTGTGTAATCTGTGTGTGTGTAGTGTGTGTGATGTGTGTAATCTGTGTGTGTGTAGTGTGTGTGATGTGTGTGTGTAATGTGTGTGTGTAGTGTGTGTGATGTGTGTGTGTGTAGTGTGTGTAGTGTGTGTTTCAGGAAAGGGCGGTCCTGCACAGATGCCATATTTTCTGTCCGTCTGCTACAGCAGAGGTGTAGGGAATTCCAACAAGACCTACATCTCTGCTTTATTGACCTGGTCAAGGCCTATGATACCATCAGTAGGCCTGGGCTCTGGGTCGTTCTTCGTGCTTTTGGAGTACCTGACCCTCTGCTCACGATCATTAAGGACCTTCATGATGGTGAGCGGGCCCGGGTAAAACTACGTGGCCGGGAGTCAGAGCCATTCCCTGTACACCTTGGGGTGCGACAGGGATGTCCTCTGGCTCCCACATTATTTAACATCTATTTTGACCACGTAGTTCGTGAAGCCTTCAATAGCTGTACCGGGGGAATCTCCATATGGTACAGATATAATGGGAGGCTAATCGATGCCCGGGTGCGGTCAAGGGATGGCTCCCTATTGCTCAACCACGTTATGTATGCTGATGACTTGGTAATAGCTGCTCAGTCAGAGGAGGAGTTGGAGACGCTGCTGCTGAGACTGGAGCGTGCCACTAAGAGGTGGGGCCTTACCATCAGCCCCACCAAAACTAAGCACCTGCCTGGGTATTTTGTACCATCGGACACTCCACCCCCACAACTCCCAATCGGTGATGGGGCAGTTGTGGAGAGAGTGGAGAGTTTCCCATACCTGGGCAGTGTGCTTATGACTGGCTCCAGTTTAACAGCAGAGGTCTCACTCCGAATCAGTCGAGCGGCAATATCTTTTCATCGGTTGCGTAACGCTGTGTGGAAGCTACCTGGTCTGTCGCTCCGCACTAAGCTTCAGGTCTTCTCGGCCACGGTCATTCCCTCCCTTCTCTACGCTTGCGAAACGTGGACCCCCCTAATGGAACATCTTCGCCGGTTAGAAACATTTAGGCTGGCCTGCCTACGATCCATCCTGGGTTTAACCAGACTGGATTGTGTGAGGAGCTCACAAATCCTTGAAAGATCTGGGCAGGGTCCCATCGGTGAGCTCCTCCGGCAGGCAAGGCTGCGATGGCTGGGTCATGTAGCCCGCATGCCCAGCCACCGCATGCCGAAACAGCTTTTGTTTGGCCGGATTGAGGGGGCTAAGCGGGCGCGGCACGGGCTAGAGAAGAGATGGAGTGATGTGGTACAGGAGGACGTGGAGCTGAGTGGACTTGCCGATGACTGGTACCAGCGGTGTCAAGATCGGCCTCTGTGGAGGAGGCTCGTGAAGGATGCTACTGGGCAGTTGGAGGCAGTCGCCCTCCAACAACAACGGAGGGCGGAGGAGCGACGCTCACAACAGCGAGCGGAGCGCCGGGTGGCTAAAGCACAGCAGGTTGGCACAGTAGGGGGCACAGGTGGTGCATCAGCCAGTCATCTCAGTCAGTCGACCTGTGGCACCTGGGTCTGCCCCGTGACCTCCTGCCAGCGGTCGTTCGACACTTCACGTGGCCTCAGGGTGCACATAGCCTGGCACAAGCGTCGTGGTGACGTCACCGCCACTTAGTGGCGAATGGCGGTTGTTGTTGTTGTTGTGTGTGTGTAGTGTGTGTAATCTGTGTGTGTGTGTGTAGTGTGTGTGATGTGTGTGTGTAATCTGTGTGTGTGTAGTGTGTGTGATGTGTGTAATCTGTGTGTGTGTAGTGTGTGTGATGTGTGTAATCTGTGTGTGTGTAGTGTGTGTGATGTATGTGTGTGTAATGTGTGTGTAGTGTGTGTGTGTAGTGTGTGTAGTGTGTGTAATCTGTGTGTGTGTGTAGTGTGTGGAATCTGTGTGTGTGTAGTGTGTGTGATGTGTGTGTGTAATCCGTGTGTGTGTGTGTGTGTAGTGTGTGTGATGTGTGTGTGTGTAATCTGTGTGTGTAGTGTGTGTGATGTGTGTATGTGTGTGTGTGTTGTGTAGTGTGTGTGATGTGTGTGTGTGTAGTGTGTAATCTGTGTGTGTGTAGTGTGTGTGATGTGTGTGTGTGATGTGTGTGTGTAGTGTGTGTGATGTGTGTGTGTAATCTGTGTGTGTGTGTAGTGTGTGTGATGTGTGTAATCTGTGTGTGTGTGTGATGTGTGTGTGATGTGTGTGTGTAGTGTGTGTGATGTGTGTAGTGTGTGTGTAGTGTGTGTGATGTGTGTGTGTGTAGTGTGTGTGATGTATGTGTATGTGTAGTGTGTGTATAGTTTGTGTGTGTAGTGTGTGTGATGTGTGTATGTATGTAGTGTGTGTGTGTAGTGTGTGTGTGTAGTGTGTGTGATGTGTGTGTGTATGTAGTGTGCGTGTAGTGTGTGTGGTGTGTATGTAGTGTGTGTGATGTGCGTGTAATCTGTGTGCGTGTAATCTATGTGCATGTAATCTGTGTGCGTGTGTGTGTGTAATCTGTGTGTGTGTAATCTGTGTGTGTGTGTAATCTGTGTGTGTGTAGTCTGTGTGCGTGTAATCTGTGTGCGTGTGTGTAATCTGTGTGTGTGTAATCTGTGTGTGTGTAATCTGTGTGTGTGTAATCTGTGTGCGTGTGTAATCTGTGTGCGCGTAATCTGTGTGCGTGTAATCTGTGTGCGTGTGTGTGTGTAATCTGTGTGTGTGTAATCTGTGTGCGTGTAATCTATGTGCGTGTAATCTGTGTGCGTGTGTGCGTGTAATCTGTGTGCGTGTAATCTCTGTGCGTGTAATCTGTGTGCGTGTAATCTATGTGCGTGTAATCTGTGTGCGTGTAATCTGTGTGCGTGCAATCTGTGTGCGTGTGTGTGTAATCTGTGTGCGTGTAATCTGTGTGCGTGTAATCTGTGTGCGTGTGTGTGTGTAATCTGTGTGTGTAATCCGTGTGCGTGTAATCCGTGTGCGTGTGTGTGTAATCTGTGTGTGTGTGTAATCTGTGTGTGTGTAATCTGTGTGCGTGTGTGTGTGTGTAATCTGTGTGCGTGTAATCTGTGTGCGTGTAATCTGTGTGCGTGTAATCTGTGTGCGTGTAATCTGTGTGCGTGTAATCTGTGTGCGTGTAATCTGTGTGCGTGTAATCTGTGTGCGTGTAATCTGTGTGTGTGTGTAATCTGTGTGTGTAATCTGTGTGTGTAATCTGTGTGTGTGTGTGTGTAATCTGTGTGTGTGTAATCTGTGTGCGTGTGTGTGTGTGTAATCTGTGTGTGTTTAATCTGTGTGTGTGTAATCTGTGTGTGTGTAATCTGTGTGTGTGTAATCTGTGTGTGTGTAATCTGTGTGCGTGTGTGTGTGTGTAATCTGTGTCTGCGTGTGTAATCTGTGCGTGTGTAATCTGTGTGTGTAATCTGTGTGTGTGTAATCTGTGTGCGTGTGTGTGTAATCTGTGTGTGTGTAATCTGTGTGTGTGTAATCTGTGTGTGTGTAATCTGTGTGTGTGTAATCTGTGTGTGTGTAATCTGTGTGTGTGTAATCTGTGTGTGTGTAATCTGTGTGTGTGTAATCTGTGTGCGTGTGTGTGTAATCTGTGTGTGTGATCTGTGTGTGTGTGTAATCTGTGTGTGTGTGTAATCTGTGTGTGTGTGTAATCTGTGTGCGTGTGTGTGTGTAATCTGTGTGTGTGTAATCTGTGTGTGTGTGTGTGTAATCTGTGTGTGTGTGTGTGTAATCTGTGTGCGTGTGTAATCTGTGTGCGTGTGTAATCTGTGTGTGTGTAATCTGTGTGCGTGTAATCTGTGTGCGTGTAATCTGTGTGTGTGTAATCTGTGTGTGTGTAATCTGTGTGCGTGTAATCTGTGTGCGTGTAATCTGTGTGCGTGTGTGTGTGTGTAATCTGTGTGCGTGTAATCTGTGTGCGTGTAATCTGTGTGCGTGTAATCTGTGTGTGTGTAATCTGTGTGCGTGTGTGTAATCTGTGTGCGTGTAATCAGAGATGGCACACCCCCGCAGTGGGGGCCCCCCCCGGCGTGTCCCCCCCCCACCCCCCAGGCCTCACCCGAGCCCCTTCTTGAGTGCCCCGTAGACCTCGTCCAGCCGCTGCGGCTGCGGCAAGCGTGGTGAGGAGCCACCGCCACCACCGCCGCTGCCGCCGACGCCGCCGCCCGGCGACTTGCTGGAGCCGGCAAACATCCTGGCCGAGCGCGTCGGGGAGCGCCGGGGAGCGGCACGCGACCTAGGGGGGGCAAGGGGGGGGGCAAGGGGGGCGAGGGGGGTGCACAGACAGACGGTGGCGATGATTATTACAGTGGTAGTGAAGATGACACCGATGATGATTGTTACGCTGGTGATGGTGGTGGTGGTGGTGACGGTAACGATGCCCGTGTTTACACACTGCACCAGGTACTCATTTGAGGCCGAGTCGACTTGGGGGATGCCCGGGACCGGTTCAGATATTCATCAGTGGTGTTGGTGGCCGTGAGCGGGAATCGAACCCGTGTCACCTATGAAGGCCGGCACGGCACACAAAGGGGGGGGGGGGGGGTGGCCACCACCACGCCCGGCCGCCTTTGTCTCCCCAGCGGTGAAATTTGTTTACGCAACACACAAAGTACTCTGTGAACACTGAGCCGACCTAAGGGAGGGCCCAGGACCGGATCGGATAACCGCCGCTCGATACGAGCCGTGACCAGCGATCAAACTCGCAGACACAAAATACACACGGCAACGCAGGCACACACACAACAACAACCGCTATTCGCCACTAAGTGGCGGTGACGTCGCCACGATGCTTGTGCCAGGCCATGTGCACTTTGAGTCCACGTGAAGTGTCGAACGCCCGCTGACAGGAGGTCACGGGGCAGACCCAGGTGCCACGGGTCGACTGACTAAGATGACTGGCTGATGCACCACCTGTGCCCCCTACTGTGCAAACCTGCTGTGCTTTAGCCACCCGGCGCTCCGCTCGTTGTTGTGAGCGTCGCTCCTCCGTCCTCTCTTGTTGTTGGAGGGCGACTGCCTCCAACTGCCCAGTAGCGTCCTTCACGAGCCTCCTCCACAGAGGCCGGCAAGTCCACTCAACTCCACGCCCTCCTGTACCACATCACTCCATCTCTTCTCTAGCCCATGCCGCGCCCGTTTAGCCCGTTTTGGTCCACACCCGAGACGACTAGGCTCTAAAGAAAGCCGTCTCAGGTGTGGACCAATCAAATTCAAGGACAGTGCATATTATTATCAGAGTTGTCTTTTTGTTTGCATTTTGACTGCTTGTGTTGCGGTTATTGCAGACATGATGCCTTGAGTAAAGGTGTCAGTTTTTTGTGCCAGTCAAAAGGGTAAACCTATTACTATATCATGAAGGTCCTTAATGATCGTGAGCAGAGGGTCAGGGACTCCAAAAGCACGAAGAACAACCCAGAGCCCAGGCCTACTGATGGTATCATAGGCCTTGACCAGGCCAATAAAGCAGAGATGTAGGTCTTGTTGGAATTCCCTACACCTCTGCTGTAGCAGACGGACAGAAAATATGGCATCTGTGCAGGACCGCCCTTTCCTGAAACCGTATTGGGGCTCCGCAAGCCTCTCCTCAGCGTGCCTGGCAAAGTGATGTTGAATAATCCTTGCCAGGACCTTTCCCGGCACACTGAGGAGTGAGATGCCCCTGTTGTTGTTACAGTCTGTGCGGTCCCCCTTCTTAAAGAGGGGGACCACCAGGGCATCCTTCCAATCCTGCGGAACCTGTCCAGTGGTCCAGACTGTTGCTATGATGTCATATAGGGCAGTCTGTGCACAAACGCCACCCTCCCTCAGCATTTCGCTTGGGAGATCATCTCTACCCGGTGCCTTTCCTGGTCTCAGACTCCGGATCGCCCTCAGTACTTCCGCAATAGATGGCACCTCAGCCAGCCACTCACAGGGGGTAACTTCTTCCAATTTTTGAGGCACTGCAGCCTCAGCAGGGTCATCCCCACTTTGTGCCACAATGTTTTCCTGGCTGAGGGATTTCCTCTCCCCCAGGACCTCACAGAAATGCTCAGCAAATCTGCAAACCTATTCCTGGGGGTCGGAGGAGATTGAATCACCGTTTTTTCCCCTAATGATGGTAATAGGTGTGGCGCTGCAGGTTACTTTTTTGATGGAGTTAAATAGAGATTTGTGATCGCGGGCCACTGAGGCAGACTCCATCTCCTCAGCAACCTGCGACCACCACCCATCCTTGCAGCGCCTCACGGCTCTCCGAAACTTCGAGCGAAGGCTGCAGTAAGCCTCCTCATTCTCTGACGTGGGATTCTGTAGCCGATGACGGTGGGCCTGTCGCTTTTTCTCAACTATCCTGAACACTTCCTCTGTCAGCCAGGGTCTCTGGGGAGGTCTGGACCGCGTACCCAAAGCAGCCATTGCAGCTGCATGAGTCACAGTCCTAAACCTCGCCCGTTTACCCTCGACATCAGGAGGAGTGGGGGACGATGCCAACCCCAGCCGCACGCGATGATGAAATTCTCGCTTGCAACTTTCATCAGAAAACTGAGACCAGGCCACTTTAGGTTGGAACGGGGTCCTGGGTGTACACCCACCATCGCAGTGGAAGAATGGCAGGCGCATCTTACAGATGACTAGTCGATGGTCAAAGGGCAGATCAGCTCCACGGTACGTCCTGGTGTCAAGGACATGGGCTCGCATCCGCTGGTCCGTCACTATGTAGTCCAGCAGATGTTCTTGCTTGGACCCAGCATGCATCCATGATGTTGTGTGGATGCGCCGATGCCGGAACAGCATGTTGGTAATTACAAGCCCATGGGCTGCACAAAAATCTAGCAGCCTCCTACCGTTGTTATTGAGCTGATCTGGCCCATGCCCTCCAATCACTCCAGACCAGGTGCCAGCATCATGACCAACTCGGGCATTGAAGTCACCCAACAAGATGACTCTATCCCGAGGGACCACTTTAGCCAGCACCTGTGACAGGAGGTCATAGAAGGCATCTGACTCATCGGCTTTGCCTGCATCCCTCCACGGATGTTCGTCTTCGGTGGGGGCATAAGTAACCACGAATACCACTCCTCGCCTCCGGTTGATGGGAAGGCGAGCCCAAAGTAGCCTGGGGCTTACAGCTTCCCACACCTCACCGCCATGCTCCCACGCCCCCTTCATTCTTTTGTTCAAAAGAAGAGCCACACCCTGTTGTTTGGCAGTCTGCTGCCCCGAGTAGAGGACTGTCCACCCCTCATGGTGGCAGGAGCCAGAACCGGTCCACCGGACCTCCTGAATGCCACAAAGATCCAGGTGGTACCGGTCCAGCTCCCGACAGAGGAGGGGCAGCCTCTCCTCCGCAGTGAGCGTTCGAACATTCCACGTGACCACACGAAGTGGCTTTTCGTTGTTTCTGGAGGAGCCCCGAGGGTAGAGATTCAATCTCCTGGCTCCGCCAATTGGGGTTTGGCCAGGAGACGTCATAGACGCCTGTCCCCCTGGGGCCTCCGGCACAAGCTTATTATATATGTACGTCGTGGTTTCATGGTAATTTTTTTAAGGTGGAGGGGTTACCAGCCCCTCGCACCCATCCAGAGCCCCCCGTTTAGCCACTGTGGTGGTCACAGACGCCATGAGGGGAGGGGCCAATCGGAATTGGCCCTCTCCCCACAACACTGTCCACGACAGAGTTGCCCGTCCGGCACCGCGAGGTGGTAGGGGGTTGTTTTGCCGCACACACACACTCTCACACACATGCACACACATACACACGCACGCACACACACTCACACACGCACACGTGGGTGACAGCACATGGGACGCATGGCAGCAGGTGGAGGGGGGTGGAGGGGGTGCAAAGGGGTGGTGTAGGGAGTGGAAGGGTGGGTAGAGGGGGTGGTGGAGGGGGTGCAGGGGTTGTTGCGTGAGTGCCAAGGCAACGCAGGGAGTGGTGTGAGTCGGAGCCGCCAGCTGTTAATGATGGCTATCTCGCTAACGAGCTAACGCGCTATCTCGCTAATGGCTAACATGCTAACGGGCTATCTCGCTATCTCGCTAATGGGCTATTGAGCTATCTCGCTAACGAACTAACACGCTAACGGGCTAACGAGCTAACGCACTAACAGGCTAATGGGCTAACGAGCTAACAGGCTAATGGGCTAACGAGCTAACGAGCTAACGCGCTAACAGGCTAACGGGCTAACGAGCTATCTCGCTAACGAGCTAATGCTCTAACAGGCTAACGGGTTAACGAGCTAACGAGCTAATGGGCCAATGCGCTAACGGGCTAACGAGCTAACGAGCTAACGGGCTAACTCGCTAACGCGCTAACAGGCTAACGGGCTAACTTTGCTAATGGGCTAACTTGCTAACGGGCTAACAGGCTAACTCGCTAACGGGCTAACAGGCTAACGGGCTAACGAGCTAATGGGCCAACGCGCTAATGAGCTAACGGGATAACGGCTAACAGGATAACGAGCTAACAAGCTAACGGGCCAATGCGCTAACAAGCTAACGGGCTAACGGGCTAACGAGCTAACAGGCTAACGGGCTAACGAGCTAACAGGCTAACAGGCTAACGAGCTAATGGGCCAACGTGCTAACGGGCTAACAGGCTAACGAGCTAACAGGCTAACGGGCTAACAAGCTAACGTGCTGGCAGGCTAACGGGCTTACGAGCTAACGGGCTTATGAGCTAACAGGCTAACGGGCTAACAGGCTAACGAGCTAATGGGCCAACGCGCTAACGGGCTAACAGGCTCACGAGCTAACGGGCTAACGAGCTAACTCGCTAACGGGCTAACGAGCAAACGGGCTAACAGGCTAACGGGCTTACGAGCTAACGGGCTAACGAGCTAATTGGCCAACGCACTAACGGGCTAACAGGCTAACGGGCTAACAGGCTAACGGGCTTACGAGCTAACGGGCTAACGGGCTAACAGGCTAACGGGCTTACGAGCTAACGGGCTAACGGGCTAACGGGCCAACGCGCTAACGAGCTAACGGGTTAACAGGCTAACGGGCTTAGGAGCTAACGGGCTAACAGGCTAACGGGCTTACAAGCTAACGGGCTAACGAGCTAACGGGCTAACGAGCTAACGGGCTAACAGGCTAACGGGCTAACGGGCTAACGAGCTAACGGCTAACGGGCTAACGGGCTAACGGGTTAATGGGCTCGGCTTGCATCACAATGTTGCGGCGAGGGGGTGCGGTTATTTCTGTTTCGTGCAGCGGTTCGATTCCCGCTCACGGCCAACACCGGTGGCGAGTATCTGGACCGGTTTTGGGCCTCGCCCCTAGGTCGACTCGGCCTCAAATGAGTACCTGGTGCGTTGTGTGTTAACATCGCCACTGGGGAGACAAAGGCGGCCGGGCGTGGTGCTGGCCATCCACCCCCTCGTGTGCCGTACCGGTCTTCATAGGTGCTGCTCGCTAACAGCCTTGCCCCTACAGTATGTTACAGGCTACACGAGGGATCTTTGTCTTGTGTGTACCTCTATGCACAGTTAAGTGAAGGGTGAGTGAGTGGTTAGTGAGTCGGTGAGTAAGTGGTGAGTGAGTGAATAGTGAGTGAGCAGTGGGTTAGCGAGTGAGTGGCGAGTTAGTGAGCGGTGAGTGAGTCGGTGAGCGAGTGCTTCGTGAGTAAGTGGTTAGTGAGTGGCGATTTAGCGAGTGAGTCGGTGAGTGAATGGTGAGCGAGCGCATTGTGAGTTAGCGAGCGAGTGGTGAGTGAGTGGTTAGTGAACACGTGATTAGCAAGTGGTAAGTTAACGAGTGAGCGGTGAGTGAGTGCTGAGCGAGTGGGTGAGTGAGTAGGGGGTAAGTTAGTGGGTGAGTTAGCGAGTGAGAGCGGTGAGCGAGTGATGGGTAAGTGGCAAGTTAGTGGTGAGCTAGCGAGTGAGTGGCATGTGAGCGGCGAGTGAGCGAGTGAGAGGTGAGTGAGCGGTAAGTGAGTGGCGTGTGAGCGGCGAGTGAGCGAGTGAGAGGTGAGTGAGCGGTAAGTGACTGGCGAGTGAGCGGTGAGCTAGCGAGTGAGTGGCGAGTGAGCAGCGAGTGAGCGGCGAGTGAGAGGTGAGTGAGCGGTGAGTGACTGGCGAGTGAGCGGTGAGCTAGCGAGTGAGTGGCGAGTGAGTGGCGAGTGAGCGGCGAGTGAGAGGTGAGTGAGCGGTGAGTGACTGGCGAGTGAGCGGTGAGCTAGCGAGTGAGTGGCGAGTCAGCGGCGAGCGAGCGGCGAGTGAGAGGTGAGTGAGCGGTGAGTGACTGGCGAGTGAGCGGTGAGCTAGCGAGTGAGTGGCGAGTGAGTGGCGAGTGAGTGGCGAGTGAGCGGCGAGCGAGCGGCGAGTGAGAGGTGAGTGACTGGCGAGTGAGCGGTGAGTGACTGGCGAGTGAGCGGTGAGCGAGTCGGTACCGGCGACTGCGCTCGTGAGCGGCGCTGAACCCGGCGAACGAGCGGCTCCTAGAGACGGCTCCTCCTCCGCCCCTGGCCGCCGGCGTCACCACCAGGGACATGGCCCCCCGCTCCACGAGACCCCCCCCTGCTCTCAGGACACACGAAGGATGCAGGCAGCGGCTCGTTAGCCACAGGCCGCACGGCTCGTTAGCGAGCTCCGTGAAAACACCGAACCAAGAGCCGCCTCCCGCTGCCAAAACCGACCGGGGCGACTCCACCGACGCACCATGATACTGCCTCCCTCTAACACCGATCCACTCCGTGGCAGAGTCACCGCGCTCTCCAGCCTCGCCTGCCGGGTCGCGCGGTTAAACAACGCGACGGGAATCGTGACTGGAACTCCGAGACCCGACACCGACCCCCCCGGCTCCCCGTGCCGACCGCCCCGCCGCCAACGATCCGCAGGGGACGCCGCGGCAAACCGCAAGGGAGTTGGGCGAGTCCTCTTGTTGCTGACGACAATCCACTGACCCAACAACCATCGCCAACCGAGACCTCGACGTTGTCTCCTCCTCGCCACCGCCGCCGACACGCGAACCAATGATCCCCTCCTGGGATCACGCTGCTGCCGCTGTCACCATCCCAGAATGAAACTATATACAGGGTGGCACATAGGTGTGGAATCGTAGGGGAAAATAACGAATTCGTATTTCTATTGTCTCGGAGGAAGGAAGAACGAGTCCAGATAATTCTACTCGTAGGAAATCGGAGTCAGAGGGAGGTCGCTGTTGAATGTAACGGACTGCATAGAGACCGCGGGCCAATAAGATAGAGCTGTGTTTTTCCTATGATTCCAGACTGATGGGACACCCTGTATATATTTTTTTATGCATAGAGGTTTTTTGGGTTAGATCGAGTAAATATATAAATGTGACAGTCAATGAGAAAGTTTAGTGTCACGTAAATAGAACATGCCAATTCGTTACTAGCAGAGCACACATTTATTTACACGATCTAACCCACAAGACCTATATTGATATTGGTCTCGAAAGCCTACATGTTATGTTTAAAATGATTGTATTATACAGTAAGACTCTCGATTATCCGCGCTAATGGTCACGGATTATTAAAAATCGTGCATAATCTAAAAAAAAAAATTCTGCGGATCTCTATGCCAAAAACCATTAGTATAGGTATAGTTGATGTTTTCCAATTTACGTATAATATCCATTTTCTGATTTCAAGTTAAAACAACACGCTTCCGTGACTCTGCCGTCGCACGGTTTCGTGAGTTAAAACTCACAAAATAAATGATCGGATAAATCACTCAAAAATGAAGCACAACTACGATTTCGATTTAGAACCAATACTAACGATCGACCGATCGATGATGATGCACGTGCGCAGCGATAGTAACACTCTCCTGGTCCTGCCCTGCAGAAGACTCGGCCCACTGAGTGGACCACAGCAGCAGAGCCACGCCAATCAACGTCAATCAAACTCCGCCCACTGTCGTAAAGATATGGCAACTACTGTACTGTAGAGGCGATCACGTGGATTTCCGATTAACCGGAGCAACATATTCGTTCAGTTTCAGGACGTGACGTGTAGTAAACACTTCCAAGAATAACAACGTATCACTGTTTTTAGATAATTCATTTCGGGCTTACGGGAAAATCCGCAAGTTATTAACTTGTGTAAAAATCGGAGGTGACCGGTTAATCCGCGCATCAGATAAACCGCATGCGGGTAACGGAGAGTCTTAACCGTAGTTCAACAGGAGCCTGTGGCAGATCACAACCCGCGACGTAGGGAGGGGAGGAGGGGGACACAGAAACTCCGTGGAGTGGAGAGCGGAGGAGAGGGGGGGGGCCCGCCGCTGCCCCACCGAGTGGGGACCACGAGCGGGGTGTGTGTGTGTACGTGAGCGGGGTGTGTGTGTGTGTACGTGAGCGGGATGTGTGTGTGTGTACACGAGCAGGGTGTGTGTGTGTACGTGAGCGGAGTGTGTGTGTGTGTGTACGTGCGCAGGGTGTGTGTGTGTACGTGAGCGGGGTGTGTGTGTGTACGTGAGCGGGGTGTGTGTACGTGAGCGGGGTGTGTGTGTGTGTGTACGTGAGCGGGGTGTGTGTGTGTACGTGAGCGGGGTGTGTGTGTACGCGAGGCGAGGTGTGTGTGTGTGTGTACGTGAGGCGAGGTGTGTGTGTGTGTGTGTACGTGAGCAGGGTGTGTGTGTGTACGTGAGCGGGGTGTGTGTGTACGTGAGCGGGGTGTGTGTGTGTGTGTGTACGTGAGCGGGGTGTGTGTGTGTGTACACGAGCAGGGTGTGTGTGTGTACGTGAGCGGGGTGTGTGTGTGTGTACGTGAGCGGGGTGTGTGTGTGTACGTGAGCGGGGTGTGTGTGTACGTGAGCGGGGTGTGTGTGTGTACGTGAGCGGGGTGTGTGTGTACGTGAGCGGGGTGTGTGTGTGTACGTGAGCGGGGTGTGTGTGTGTGTGTACGCGAGGCGAGGTGTGTGTGTGTACGCGAAGCGAGGTGTGTGTGTGTGTGTACGCGAGGCGAGGTGTGTGTGTGTGTGTCTGTACGTTTATCCGGGAAGGTGAGGAGGAAGACTTGGATCACATTCGGTTTCAAAGACAATGCACAAAAATAAGAACATCTTTTTTGTTTGCATGCAGACAAGATTCCTTAAAAAAGGATTCTGTTTGGTGTTTTAGCATCTTAACGCAGCTATTTATTGCCATAAAGGGTGAAACCTATTGTTATATTTACAATTAAAACTTTTAAAAAATAAACGGTAAACTATTTTTACACGATTTCTATTAACTCTGTCTGTTGTTGTTGATGTATCCTCAAATCTTTTAACTCAATTTTAGCCCACTTCCCAATGTGGTATCGACTGCAAACTTGGTAAACGTATGCCATACTGATGACAGGACTATATTATATCATTAAAAATATATACATATTTTTTAAACAATCTTTTGTATATGTTATGTTTCGGCTTGGGTTAAATTGTCCACGCTCAACTCACGTTGGCTGTGATTGGCCACGGCCCCCTTACGTTGTGGCCAAGCTTCGGGCCCACTTCCTGGAGTCGTGGAGTTCTGCCATTACGAGTACGGTACTTTTCATTAAAGCGTGTTTAAAAAAAAAAGTATTTTTAAATATTACTTTTTTTATTTTACCAGGGAGAGGCCCACCGAGCTATGTAGCTCTGTTTCAGAAGCGACCTGGCCATCACAAGCGAAGCTCAACAAAGTGGCTTATTATCATCATCATCATCACGTGGACTTTTATAGCAGCCAAAGTCTCTAAACACGTGGCGATGTCGATTCTAAACGAGGAGGGGAAAACCGGAGGACCCGGAGAAAAATCCACGCGACCATGGCGAGAGAGACGCGCAAACTCCAAATATACAGCAGCAGCAGGCGCCAGGGTCGGGATCGAACTCACGACCTCCTGCACACCAGGCGAGGTAGTTAACATCTCCCAGCCACGGTGATGATGATGATGAGAGAGAGAGACGCAAACTCCAAATATACAGCAGGCGCCAGGGTCGGGATCGAACCAACGACCTCCTGTACACCAGGCGAGATAGTTAACATCTCCTAGCCACCGTGATGATGATGATGAGAGAGAGAGAGAGAAACGCAAACTCCAAATATACAGCAGGCGTCAGGGTCGGGATCGAACCCACGACCTCCTGCACACCAGGCGAGGTAGTCAACATCTCCTAGCCACCGTGATGATGATGAGAGAGAGAGAGAGACGCAAACTCCAAATATACAGCAGGCGTCAGGGTCGGGATCGAACCCACGACCTCCTGCACACCAGGCGAGGTAGTCAACATCTCGCCCAACAGAGTGGAGCAACGCGAACATCCGGAATAAACCTCATTTGAGATCCAAACATCACCACCATCGCATCATCTCCTGGCTTTGACATTCCTCCTCCTCCTGGAAGACAGCGGTGGTGGAACCAATGAACTGCATCATCAGAACATCATCAGCAGGCCGATGCTGCACCACGCCTCATTCAGGATGCTGCACCACGCCTCATTCACGATGCTGCACCACGCCTCGTTCACGATGCTGCACCACGCCTCATTCACGATGCTGCACCACGCCTCGTTCACGATGCTGCACCACGCCTCGTTCACGATGCTGCACCACGCCTCATTCACGATGCTGCACCACGCCTCGTTCACGATGCTGCACCACGCCTCATTCACGATGCTGCACCACGCCTCATTCACGATGCTGCACCACGCCTCGTTCACGATGCTGCACCACGCCTCGTTCACGATGCTGCACCACGCCTCGTTCACGATGCTGCACCACGCCTCGTTCACGATGCTGCACCACGCCTCATTCACGATGCTGCACCACACCTCGTTCACGATGCTGCACCACGCCTCATTCACGATGCTGCACCACGCCTCGTTCACGATGCTGCACCACGCCTCGTTCACGATGCTGCACCACGCCTCGTTCACGATGCTGCACCACGCCTCGTTCACGATGCTGCACCACGCCTCGTTCACGATGCTGCACCACGCCTCATTCACGATGCTGCACCACGCCTCATTCACGAATGGAGACATTAAAGGCACGGGCCATAGGAGTGCGACTCTGACCATGCGACCCAAACTATGAACCCGCACAGTAAACCCATAGAGACTCATAGAGATGCATAGAGACCCACAGCGATACGTGCACATAGACTCAAATACATAGAGACTCAGTTACACAGACTCATAGTGATGCATAGAGACCCACAGCGATACACAGAGACTCATAGAGATGTATGGTCACACAGCAATAGACTCGTAGATACATCAACACAAATAGACCCATAGAGACACGTGGAGATACATAGACACGTAGAGGTACATAGAGACAAGCCACATGAGTGGGATTGTGGCCATGCAACCCAAGCTATGGACCGCACATTAAACCCAGACTCACATAGACACACAGAGATTCATAGACACACAGAGATTCAGAGACACACAGAGATTCATAGACACACAGAGATTCATAGACACAGAGATTCAGAGAGACACAGAGGCCCAATAGAGATACGTTAGAATCATGCCCCAGCAGTGCGCGACTGTGGCCATGCCTACTCAAGCTACGTCAC